CACTTTGTGCCCACAAGGTGGCCTGCAGTGAGCCCCAGGGCAGAGCTGGGTGAGCGGCGAAGAAGCCGAGAGACGGAGGCTGGGCGGCTGTGTGGCCGTGACCCAGGACTGTGGAGGACAGGTCCGGGCTCACATCCTCCTCCTTCAAGACTGCTTGCCCTTGCCCCGGGGCTGTCATATTCCAGTCCATGCCTGGAAATGGAAACCCGAAGCCACGAATACTCAATGTCTCCGAGAAACGTCTGACCTTTCCTGTGCTTTGGATTCTGGAGGCCACGCTCTCCTCCATTAGTGACCAGCAGCTGTGCCTCAGGCTGTGTGGGGCCAGCTGGCCCTCGCCTGCTGTTTGCAGGCAGCACACAAAAACTTTCTGAGTAAGCTGTCCCAGACCACCAGGCTGGGAGAGATTCAGTGCCATCCCTCCGCCTCACTGAACCCTGTGGGCCTGCATGGCTTGAGCTGAAGGAAGCGTGGCTTTCTGTCTTGCAGTTGTTCCCTGCATCCAGAATCCTCTGCTCCAGACACTTGGCCAAGGCATTCTGTCCTGAGAGGTTAGTTAAGGCCCTTGTCTTACGCTGGCAGAAGCTAGGGAACAAGTGACAAGCATCAATGATTCCTGCCAGGCACGTGCCATACGCCTATAATCCCAGCACTCTGGAGGCTGAGGCAGGACGATCGCTGTGAGTTGGAGGCCAGCCTGGGCTCCACAGTGAGCTCAAGGCCAGCCTGAACTGCAAAGTGAGACTCTGTCTCAAAACACAAAAAAACCGAGCAAACAAACAAAGCTGTGACTATGGAGCAGCCACTGAAAGGGTTCACCGGCTCTCAGCTCCAAGCCTCCAAGGGTGTCCCACACTACAGGCTGAGATGAGCCCCCCAGGCCAGGCCACAACCCCAGAAAGGAGAAAGCACAAGCAGAGGACAGGATCTACAACTCTGCTAACTCTCATTCCTGACCTGACAGCTTTTTGTATTTCTGGTCTCACTGGAATGTGAACTATTCTTTTGAGAAGTCTGGTAGTGAGGAAGAGATGAGAGAGGAAAACAGAATCTTCAAAGTTCTTCTCCCAAATACTCTGTACCCAAACAGGCAAAAGGGAAATGAGCAACCATTGCTTCTCACCTACTGTACCCCAGGCTCACTTAAACTCGTGAGAAACCTGCACCTTCGATTCAAAACTGAAGATGCTGAAACTCTGAGAAGAAAGTGACTTACACAGGAGCCCTACGGCTTTGAGGCTCCGGTGCATTGGGCACAAAAGCCTATGTTCTTCCTTGAACTCTACAAAGAAGGCATTAAAAAACCCATATCTGGGTGGGGGCATAAATGTAAGGGACTATAAAAGCCAACAGCCAGGAGAGCAAGGAAACACTGCCCCGGCCCCTAGAATTGGGGCATTGAGTTGAGGTCAGGAGTTAGCGTTCTGTGGGTGGCTGCTGGCCGAGTGGGGAGGAATGACTTTCACAGGCAGTCATTTATTGCACGACTTTTATTTGCAAAACATACCCCATCACTTAATCCCCATTATCGGGGAGTTTGCAGTCTCCTGGGGAAGGCAGATACTGAACACCCTGTACAAGCAGCTTCGTCAGAACTGAGATGTCAGGAAAAGTGCTAGTCTCATGGAGACTGTAGCAAATGCAACTGGCAGGAAACACTGGTACCTTCCCGAGGACCTGGATGGGGGGGGGGGAGCAAGCGAGGAGACAGAATCGCGGCGGAGGAGGAAGGCGCCTGAGCACCAGCCTTCCAGGCAGTCCTGAGTGCTGGTAACGAAGCCGTGCAGATTGCAGCTGAGCTTGGGAGTGGGAGGAAGAACTGAGGAAAGGCTGTGTTTAGGGCGGTGGAGCTTTTCTCGAGGAAACTAGGGACGGCAGGGGCAGATGTGGGGTAAAAGTGACGATAATGGAATCATATTAATATACACGATGGCATAATTAGACGGACCAAGCCAGGATTAACCGCACAGAAGAGGTGGAACGGGCGCGGTTATCACAGCACAGCCTTTGCCTTGGCGAGAAGCTGGACTCGATCAGGAGAACGGATGGGAGGGAGCCCGGGTGTGACCTCGAATGATCGTGACTCCAAGCGGAGGAAAGCAAAAGGCACGGAGCGGCTGGCTTTGTGGAAAGGGCGATCGTGTTTCCGACCAGAGAGATGGCCGGTTACTAGGTTCAGAGGACTTGGAAAAGTCTGGAAGCGTGGTCGGAGGAATCGCGCACAACGCAGCAGAAGATGCACGCGTGGACAACAGCCATTAAACGCTGAGACAGCCGCGGGCTGGTGTGGGCCCTGGACGGGCCGCTCTGCACAGCCGGCGGGAGCCGCACCGCCGGGGGACGCAGGTGGCCGCGAGGCCGCGGAGATCCCGGCCCGCGCGCTCTGGGGGCGCGAGGGGGCGGACGGCAGCGGGGGGCGGACGGCAGCGGGGGGCGGGCCGAGCGAGCGGGCCTCTGCGCGGCACTTGGCACGCACGCGCAGACCGGCCCGGGCCCCAGAGGCACAGAGGAGGGGGAGCGAGAAAGAGGGGGGTGTGGAACGTATTTCCGCTCTGGCGGACAAATAATCCCGGCCAAAGGGGAGGCACGGCTGTCCAGCCCTTTAACCGCGTGGGGGGTGCCCGTGAAGAAAGGGGGGTCGGGAAGGGGGGGGATCCTGCTCCTTTAATTCCCTCCCCTCTTCCTCCTCCCCGACTCCTCGCGACGCCGCCGAGCGCGGGGCCTGGAACACACGGCACGAGCTGCCCCCGCCCCTCCCCCCTGACGCCCACGCGGAGCCGGCCCGCGCGCGCGCCCCGCGCACCCCCGCGCCTGCGCGCTGCCCAGGCCCAGCCCGTGTGTGGGGGGCGCCGCCGGCCCTGGGGGGTGGGGGACATAGGGGGGGAAAAAGCAGCGCGCGGAACCGGGCCAGGTGAGAGGCGCGTGCACTCAGGGCCGTGGGGCTGGGGGGGCGTGCCACGGAGCGCCGAGCGTGGGAGGGGGCGTGCACGACGGTGCAGACGGCAGGGGAGGGCTGGGGAGGGGCCCGAGGACCCCGGGAGCGGGCGGAGGGGCGGGTGAGAGGAGCCTGCAGCCGGGGCCACCCCAGCGCCACAGGTCCACGTCTCTGCCCCCCTTCCTCTGTCCTTCCCCGAGGGCGCGCAGGCTTTCTCCATCTGCAGGCGCTGGACCGGGGGTGTGGACGCCGCTGCCCCGCCCCCGGGAACCACGCCTCCCTCCGACAGGAGGGACAGCGCCTCCCCCGGGTTGGGGAAACTGAGGAAGAGGCGTGAAGACTGGGAGATCGGATGCTGGGGGAACCGGGCAAGAATGGGGGCGAGGGGCCTGGAGTCTTGGCTTCGGAGAGCCAGAGACCTTTGTCTCTGACCGGTTTCCTTCCCGACCAGGGTTGCCCACTCACGCTACAATGGCCTCTGGGGTGGAAGTGCTTCGCTTCCAGCTGCCCGGCCATGAGGCTGCCACGCTGCGGAACATGAACCAGCTCCGCGCGGAGGAGCGGTTCTGTGACGTGACCATCGTGGCCGACAGCCTCAAGTTCCGCGGCCACAAGGTCATCCTGGCCGCATGCTCACCCTTCCTTCGGGACCAGTTCTTGCTGAACCCCAGCTCCGAGCTGCAGGTCTCCCTGATGCACAGTGCGCGCATCGTGGCCGACCTGCTCCTCTCCTGCTACACCGGTGCCCTGGAGTTCGCAGTCAGGGATATCGTCAACTACCTGACGGCCGCCTCCTACCTGCAGATGGAGCACGTGGTGGAGAAATGCCGGAACGCCCTCAGTCAGTTCATTGAGCCCAAGATAGGCCTCAAAGAGGACGGGGTCAGCGAGGCGAGCCTCATGAGCAGTGTCAGCGCCACCAAGTCCCTGCTCCCTCCAGCCAGGACCCCAAAGCCAGCTCCCAAGCCCCCGCCCCCTCCACCTCTGCCCCCTCCGCTCCTGCGGCCTGTGAAGCTGGAGTTCCCGCTGGACGAAGACCTGGAGCTGAAAGCCGAGGAGGAGGACGAGGACGAGGATGAGGACGTGTCTGACATCTGCATCGTCAAGGTGGAGTCGGCCCTCGAGGTGGCGCACCGGCTCAAACCCCCCGGAGGCCTGGGAGGGGGTCTGGGTATTGGGGGCTCCGTGAGCGGCCACCTTGGGGAGCTGGCCCAGAGCAGCGTGGCCCCCAGCACTGTGGCCCCACCGCAGGGTGTGGTGAAGGCCTGCTACAGCCTGTCAGAGGACGCCGAAGGGGAGGGCCTGCTGCTGATCCCTGGGGGCCGGGCCAGTGTGGGGGCCACCTCGGGCCTAGTGGAAGCGGCGGCGGTGGCCATGGCTGCCCGGGGGGCGGGGGGCAGCCTGGGGGCGGGGGGCAGCCGGGGACCCCTGCCCGGGGGCTTCTCGAGTGGAAACCCTTTAAAGAATATCAAGTGCACCAAGTGCCCGGAAGTGTTCCAGGGCGTGGAGAAGCTGGTCTTCCACATGCGCGCACAGCACTTCATCTTCATGTGCCCGCGCTGCGGTAAGCAGTTCAACCACAGCAGCAACCTCAACCGCCACATGAACGTGCACCGTGGCGTCAAGTCACACTCGTGCGGCATCTGTGGCAAGTGCTTCACGCAGAAGTCTACGTTGCATGACCACCTCAACCTGCACTCAGGAGCGAGGCCCTATCGCTGCTCCTACTGCGACGTGCGCTTCGCCCACAAGCCCGCCATTAGGCGGCACCTCAAGGAGCAGCACGGCAAGACCACTGCCGAGAACGTGCTGGAGGCCAGCGTGGCCGAGATCAACGTCCTCATCCGCTAGCCAGCGGGGCAGGCGGGTGGGGAAGGGATCCTGGGCCCAGGAGGATGGGGTTGGGGGTCGGGCAGACACCGGAAGGAGGGAGGGAGGGAGAGGTTCCCTGGAGGGAAGACCCTGCTTCTCAGAGAAAGGATGGAGCTAGAGACAGGGTTCTTCGACAAGGCCAAGGGAACGCAGGGCCCCAGAGACTGATTTTCCTAGAGGTGCATGGATACATGGAGGGAGGGAAAAGGGTTCCATAGAATGAGGAAAAGAGAAGACTGGAAAATGTTTTTTTCCTGGCCAAGGCTGCCCAGGGGAAGGAAGGTTCTGACACTTGTTGAGGTAGGGGTGGGTGGGTGGGCAACGGGAGGGAATTGGCAGGAGGCGGCTTCCTTGCTCCTGTTTAGAATAGATCCTTGGGAGAGGGAGTGGTGGGGAAAGCACGTATGGAATCCCAGACCAGGAAGAGGGAGACCGTTCTTGCATGCTGGGGAAATGGGATTGTGGGTACATGGCTCGCCAAAAGTGGAGGACAAAGTGAAGGTGCCAGGTAAGAGGACGTGGGGTGAGCCTCCTGGGTAGATACTGGGAAGTGGGGGTACAATAGCAAGAACAATGAATAGTGAACGGGTGGGGGGCAGGGCACTTAGAAAAAAGGACACAAGGAGGGCTGTTAGTGGGAGGGAGAGGAGTAGAGACATACAGTATTTTTTAAGAAAACAAAACGTATTTTTTAGGATTTTTTTCTGGAGTTTGGGGTTTTAGTTTTTCTGCTTTGTTTTCCACAGAATAAAAAAAATAATTTTTTTTCTTTATACTGTGGCAGCTGCGTGTATATGACTATCCCACCCTAGATGGCCTCTCCTTCTTGATGCTGTGTCCTCAGTACCCAGAGGTGACAACTCACGCAGGTCCCATGTCCAAAGGAGCCCCCCTTCAGTCAGGGTAGGGAATGTGACAAGCTGGACACGCCCTCCCCCAGTTCTGCAGCCTCAACACCTAGCCAGGTACCGCACTGCAAAACAATTGGCAGGCCACGTGTTACAACTTCTACCTGCAGGGTTTGGTATCAGTGCTAGGGACAGGCTACAGGTGGCCAGCGTCCCCGCTGCTATTGCAGACAGGCATCTGTTACGGCATTTTTGTGTGGGAGAAATGGTTCATATCTTTGGAAAAGCTAGAAGTTTGCAAAGCTGCTTTAGGTTTTGGGGGAGACTACAATTCCCAGGAAGCTCTGGAAAGTTCTTAACCAAAGAGAACTACAGTTCCCAGAAGGCCTTGTAATGGTCTCGGGTGCCTCTTACCCTAACCACTTGCCCGTTCAAATACTGTGCGTGAGGCCCTACAGATATTTCCAAACGTTGACAGAGATGGACTACCTAAGGGGCTGCTTCCCTAAATACCCCACTGTGTCAGGGCTGCATATCCTGGTGTCTTCCTTACAACTGTTAGCTGGGCTGTTACCGACTGAGTGCCTGGCCGCTTGTGTTTAGCTAAAAACCGATCACTTACTACAGTGTCACCAAAAAGACGTTCCTCGAGCCGCTGGCTTACCTGGATCTCTAGCGCTTGTGATGGCGAAAACAAAAGACATTTAACCCCAGGTTTTCAAAAGGGGACGCTGCTGGGTGAGGGGATGACACAGCACAGCACGCCAGAGTAAAGGTGTCCCCATCGGCCCCTGCTGGCTCGTCAGAGGCGAGGCCAAAACCGAGGCCGAGCCTTCTTATTTAGTGGCCCAGAAACTAGAAGGAAAAGCAACCAGGAGGGAGAAGCCCAGAGTGACAGATAAATGCAGCACAGAGCCAAGGGGCTCGGACGCTATGCTTGTCTCTTGGCCCCAGACGGGGACGGAGGAGCCCACCCCTGGACCCAGGCAGGCCTCCCCCTCGGTTCCCCAAGGGCTGAGGCCGGGAAGGCCCGGCACGCTCCCTTACGGCCCCGGCTCTGGCCACCCCTGCGTCTCCCAGGCTGCTCTCCGGGGAAAATGGCCCGAAGGCGCGCGACGGCCCCTTTAAGGCCCCTCCTCGCCCGCCCTGCTCGCCCACGTGACCCGGGGCGGCCGCGCGCCGGCTCAGCCCCCAGCGCAAGCGGCGATGGCGGCGGCGGCGGGAGCTGCAGCGGCGGCGGCCGCCGAGGTGCGGAAGGGGAGGGGGAGAGGCGGGTGCATGCCCGCGCGCGCGCCCGGGGGAAGCGCGCACCCGTGCAATGCTCCGGGGGTGCAACGGGGCCGGGGGGCCCGGGCGGGACTTGCAGCAATCCAGGGGGCCAGCACCGGGGGCGGATGAGGGGACCAGGGGGTGGGAGGTGGGGGGAGTGGGCACGGAGGCGCGCGTGCCGCCGCCGGCTGCCCCGGAGTGGGCGGCGGGCACCGGGGCCCCAGGAGCACGCGCGAGGGGCACGAGGGGCCGCCCGCCGGGCTGGGGGGCAGCGGGCGCCGGAGGGGTTGGTGCCCGGGGTCCCCGCGGCCTGGGGGACAAAGGGGGAGCGGCGCGTGCAGCCGGGAGGAGGGGGCGGGGCCGGGGCGCGGAGGCCCCGCCCCCGCCCCCTCCTCTCCTCTCGGCCCCCGAGATGCGGGGTCTCCCGAGAGGGCGGGGGCTGATGCGGGCCCGGGGGAGGGGTCGTGCAGCCCCTCCGGGCAGCCGCGGCCGAGGGCGGGGGGGCCCCCACCGAGGAAGAGGTAGGCCCCGGAGCCTGCTGTCTCTTCCCAGGGCCCAGGCGTCCTGGGCGCCCCAGCTCCCCGCCGGGCTGACCAGCCCTCCTGTACCCTGTCTCCCCTCTCAGGGGGACACCCCCGCTGAGATGGGGGCGCTGCTGCTGGAGAAGGAGCCCAGAGGAGCCCCCGAGAGAGGTGAGTGCGGTGGAAACGGCCCAGCCGGACCTTCACCTCCCGGACCTGGGATCCCAGAGTCCTCGGCCCTGAACTTGCTCTCTTCCCCTGCAGTTCATGGCTCTTTGGGGGACACCCCTCACAGTGAAGAGACCCTGCCCAAGGCCAACCCCGACTCCATGGAGCCTGCTGGCCCCTCCTCTCCGGCCTCTGTCACTGTCACCGTGGGCGATGAGGGGTCTGACACCCCTGTAGGGGCCACCCCGATCATTGGGGATGAACCCGAGAATCTGGAGGGAGACGGGAGCCGCGTCCTGCTGGGTGAGAGCCACGGAGTCTGAGGGTGGGCGGGGATCCCCTCCGCCTGCCTTCTCACCTGGCTTTCCGCCTGGCCTCCTCTCTTCCAGGCCACGCCACCAAGTCCTTCCCCTCTTCCCCCAGCAAGGGGGGCGCTTGTGCCAGCCGGGCCAAGATGTCCATGACAGGGGCCGGGAAGTCGCCCCCGTCAGTCCAGAGCTTGGCCATGCGGCTGCTCAATATGCCCGGGGCCCAGGGACTGGCAGCCTCGGGGCCCGAACCCACTCCAGCCACCACCGTCAGTTCGGAGGGGCAGCCCAAGGTGCACAGGGCCCGGAAGACCATGGCCAAGCCAGGAAATGGCCAGGTGAGGCGGCCTTTTCTTACCACTTAGTTTTAGGCCTCCCCCAATGCGCAGCTGTGAGACAGATATTGGGCTGGCTTTAATCTGTGAACAGACAGACCCTGACTTCCAGTTTAAGTTCTTGGGGAGGGAGACTAAGCTCAAAAAAGACAAACAGACTGAAGAGTTACTTGTATCCTTAATGTCTTAATTACCTGAGTGGTAAGGACGTGGGCTAAAGGAACTTCTACTTTTCCTTTCTACCTCCCAGCGGGTCCTAAGGGAGCTTTCTCCTTCTTGAGCCTTTTTGTGGCAAGGAGGTCCACAGAAATGCTAGAGGAGGGAAGTGACAAATCCCCAGAATCCCAGAAGCTTCTGGCACAGGCTTTTGAGGCCTCCTTGTACTGCTTTTTTCTGGGTGTGGATTCAATAGCCTGTGTGAGATTTTTTTTTTTTTTTTTTTGCATTGTGGGGGTGTTGGGACTCAAGGCCTCTCACAGGCTAGGCAATCGATCTGTCACTTATCTGGAGCCTCCAGCCTTTTAAATTTTAAGTTAGGCTCCTGCAAAGTTGCACAGGTGGGTCTCAAACTTAGGTCCTCTTGCCTCAGCCTCCTGAGTAGCTGGCATTGTATGGTACAACACCATACCCTTTTATTTTTTCTCTTTTTTAGAGTTTGTGTAAAATTGATAATCTAAGCCAGTTTTTAAAGATTGTTTCTTTGTGTCCTTCGTTCTTTTATTTATTTATTTATTGAGATATGGTCTCACTATGTAGTTCAGGTGGGGTCTTGGACTCACTATGTATCTATCCCAGGCTGGCCTTGAACTTGAGGTGAGCCTCCTGCCTCAGCCTCTCCTGTGCTGCAATTACAGGCGTGCACCACCACACCTGACTTCTAAACCATTTTTAAGTGTAGAAATCAGTGGTATTAAAATTTTCAATGTTGTATAGTCATCAGTCTCCATAACTGTTTTCATCTTGCAAACCTTGAACTCTATATCGGTTGACCAGTGAGTCCCAACTGTCCTTCCCCACACCTGGTGGCCATCATTACTCTGTTTCTAGGAATGTGATTACTGTAACCATCTCATGTATTTTTGTTGTTGTTGGGTTTTTTTGTTTTGTTTTGTTTTTGCAACCGGGATTGAACTCAGGTCCTTGCGCTTGCGCAGCAGGTGGCGAAACCACTGAGCTAAGTCCCCGGCCCTAATGTTTAATTGCAGGGTACAGCATTTGTCTTTTTGTGACTGGCTTGTTTAGTTCAGTGTTCTCAAGGTTTCTCCCTATTGTCCTGTATGTCAGAATTTCTTTTCTTTCTAGAGCCGAGTAATCCATTTTTGTGCAGTCATCTCTCAGGATCCAAGAGAGAATTGATTACAGGCCCTTCTAGACACAAAAATCTAAAGTCTCTTATATAAAATGGCCTGGTATTTGCAAAAAAATCTACACATAAACTGGCCATAGTGGTGCACTCCTATAATCCTAGCACTCTGGGAGGCTGAGACAGGAAGATTACAAGTTCAAGGCTAGCCTGGGCAACTTAGTGAGATCCTGTCTCAAACGAAAAAGGCAGTGGATGTAGCTCAGTGAAGAGGCTCTGGGTCCAAACCCCAGGAATGTAAAAGACAAAGAAATACACATATCTTCCTGTGTACTTCTTGCTAGCTATGATACTAAACCATGTAAATGCTGTGTAAATTGTTTCTATGCTATATTGTTTAGGGGTTATGAAATAGAAAACTACTCATATTAGGTACAGACAAATTTTTTAAAATATTTTTGGTCCCACATGTTAAGTCTGTGGTGATGAGGCACCACATTTTGCTTGTCCATTCATCTGTCAGTGGACTCTGGGTTATTTGCACACTGTCGCTGTTGTATTCGTGCTGCTGTAAAGGTAGGTGTACAGCGGGCCTTTGACCTTGCAGAGCGGGAGGAAGGTTCTGCTCAGTGTGGTCGAAGAGCTAAGTGAAGTCTGGCGTGGCGGTGCACGCCTGTAATCCTAGCGCTGGGGAGGCTGAGGCAGAAGGATCACTGAGTTTGAGGCCAGCCTGGGGTCCACAGTGAGGCCAACGGCAGCCTGAACACAGGGAGACCTTGTCTCAAAAAACCGAGCCAAACAAAAAAGGAAGCTAAGTGAGCCTTAGGTGTGGGACGTGGTGACCCGCCTGCCCTCGGGGAATAGTAGTACAGTAAAACCTTAGTTTGCGAGCATAATTTGTTCCAGAAACATGCTTGTAATTCAAAGTACTTGTATATGAAAGCGAATTTCCCCATAAGAAATAATGGGAACCTCAGATGATTTGTTCCACAACCCAAAAATATTCATATAAATATGATTACAATACTGTGATATAATACAAAGTAATAAACTAAACATTTACAGAAATAAGTGAATGTGCACTTACTTTGCAAACCTTTGTGGCTGGCGTGAGGGGCAGTGAGAGGAGAGTCAGTGTGAGGGCAGACGGCACCGTCACTAACGGGATCACCGCTACTGGCTCACTGGAATCTTTTTCTTCTCCTGCAATTTTAACAAGGAACCCACCCAGTGACACTTGCTCTTGCCTCCTGTTGAGGATTTCACAGGAATACGACATCGCATGGTCGTTAGGCAGATTCATCTCGCACTGCTGCAGCCTTGTTTGGGTGCTGTGCTGCGCAGTCACTGCCCCACACTGCACACCTCCCGTCTCGTCTCGTGTGAAGTGAGGGATTCTTCTGCCTTCCTCTGGCCCCCTCCGCCCCTCTTGCTGTTGGCAAGTGGATCACCCACAGGGTGTCAGAGACATTTGCCCGACATGTGGAACGCTGAAGAACAAGTTACAGGCACCCAAGCTTCCCTGTGCCCCTTAGCGCCACCATCGGAGTCTGGAGCTTCCGTACCGCGCCCACCTTGGGCTCTGGCTAATGAGGTGGACGGCAGCCGCTGCCCACCTCCCATGACCCTCGCGTGTTCCTCTCCTCCAGCCCCCGGTCCCTGAGAAGCGGCCCCCAGAAGTGCAGCATTTCCGCATGAGTGACGACGTGCACTCCCTGGGGAAGGTGACTTCAGGTCAGTCCTGCCCCGCCCCGGCCCAGCCTGTGTGCCCCTCCTGGGCGAGGGTGCCAGCCTCACTGCTCCCCACCCTTCTAGATGTGGCCAAGAGGAGGAAGCTGAACCCTGGAGGAGGCCTGGTGAGCAGAGAGGTGGGGCCAGGCCGCTTGCCCGCAGCTGCATCTGTCCTCAGCAGGAGTGGGGTTGGTAGGAAGGAGCTGCAGCCTCAAGTTTGCTGATCTTTTTCTAGTCGGAGGAGTTGGGTTCTACCCGGGGTTCAGGAGAAGTGACCCTGGACAAGGGGGACCCCAGGTCCCTGGAGGAGTGGGAGACGGTGGTGGGGGATGACTTCAGTCTCTGCTATGACTCCTACTCTGTGGATGAGCGAGTGGACTCTGACAGCAAGGTGAGTGGAGCAGCCTGCGTCCCGCCCCGCCCTGAGGCCTGGGCTCACTCCCCAGTCTTTCCTGTCCCCCTTTTCCTTCCTTCCCTTTCTTCTCCTGTTCTTTTTCTGGTGCTGGGGATCGAACTTGGCCTCCTGCATGCCAGGCAAGTGCTTACTGCCGAGCTCCATTCCAGCCCTTCCTTCTTTCCTCTCTGCCCTCCCAGTGAGCATGCACCTGTACCATGCTGCTGCGTGCCGCTGTGTCCAGCGAGCGCTCCGTCTGCGCCGTTCCTGGCCCCTCTCCGCAGAGGGGGCCACCGTACTGCACCCCTTCTGTGGCTTATGTGCCGTTTGCTGGCTTCTGCCCTTGCTCTGTTTGCTTTTGCCTCCTGTGTTTACCTGCACAGCATAAGGTGGAGTCTTGCCGTTGTGCTTGGAAACTTCCAAGTAGACACAGAAGAGGAGAATGGTGGTTGTGAGCCCGCAGCTGCTCACCTGTGCCTCCCGCAGCATACACACTGGCCGGGTTATTTCATGGAAACCCCAGGCATCTTATTTCTTCACAGAGAAATATTTCCATCTGTGCTTCTAAACATAAGACCTCTTTTTGTCTCTTAACATCACTGCATTACTATTTTCACACCCCGAAAGAGCTTAGCAATGATTCGTTCGCACCATCGAGTGTCCCCAGCCGTCTTCCCATTATAAATGGGCTTTTGGTGCCCTCTGAAAGGGACCCACACGTTGATTTCATTGACATGTGTGTTGGATATCTTTTGATACGTGGGCTTCCTCATCTTTAAAAACAAAAGCCAGGCCAGGGATTTACCTCAGTGGTTCTGCCGCCTGCCTTGCAAGTGCAAGGTCCCCCCAAAAATCCCCGGTACCAAAAAAAATAAAATCAAAAACCTTTCCCTCATCTTTCATTTGTTGAAGAGGCGAGGCCAGTTGACTGGCAGTGTCTCACACTTTGAGCGGCTGAGGGCGTGGGGATCCCACATGCCCCTCCTCTGGCACTGCTTGTGACCTGAGGGGATGGTGGCTCCAGAGCCACGGCAGCGTCAGTGTGCACAGGTGTCTCCTGTCGCCTCATGTCGGGGCACCGGACATCTGGTCATTTGTCTTGTTGGCAGCCTCCACACTGACACCACACGGGTCTCTTCACTGTGGGGCTCTTCGTCTGGTGTTTTTAGCGGCCATTTGTGGTTTTGTCCGTTTGTGAACTTCACAGAAATAGCATCACGTTCTGTGTGGACCGCAGCGTCTCTGCCATGGCCGTGTAGAATTCCGTGCCGTCCTCCTCCTGCCTGCGAGCACCTGCCCGGGGCGCCATCCCTGGGCAGGTGGGGGTGGCGGTCTCTCCATCTTGCCTGTCTGTGTCCTGTGGGATTTGTCCTACGTTGTCCCTGCCAGGTTCTCTCTCCCCAGAGGAGCCTGGCGGTCGCCGTCTCCCCAGCCCCATTTTCTTCTCTCCCAGTCTGAAGTTGAAGCCCTGGCTGAACAACTGAGCGAAGAGGAAGAGGAGGAGGAGGAGGAAGAAGAAGAGGAAGAGGAGGAGGAGGAGGAGGAAGAGGAGGAAGATGAGGAGTCAGGCAACCAGTCAGACAGGGTGAGAGTGGAGTCTGTCCTCTGGGCAGTGGGGCCGCGGCCAGGGCCCTGACTCTTCCTGCTCCACAGAGTGGCTCCAGCGGCCGGCGCAAGGCCAAGAAGAAATGGCGAAAAGACAGCCCGTGGGTAAAACCGTCGCGGAAACGGCGGAAGCGAGAGCCTCCACGGGCCAAGGAGCCACGAGGTGAGCGGGCCCCTGCTCCATGCCCCTCCCGGCCCCCCGAGGCGCGCAGGTGTACGCACGGTCTCTCACGCACGGACACCCGCACGTGCGCACGCGCCGGGCCCACGCGCTCGCACGCTCACTCTCTCTGTCTCTGCGTCAGGCGTGAACGGTGTGGGCCCCTCAGGCCCCAGTGAGTACATGGAGGTCCCTCTGGGGTCCCTGGAGCTGCCCGGCGAGGGGACCCTCTCCCCCAACCATGCTGGTAAATGCCCACTGCCGGACAGAGAGCCACGAGGGGTGCCCACGGGGCTGGAGGGGCCCGAGAGGAGGGAACCCGGCCAGAGCCTGGGTGTCCGGCCTGGCTCTGGGGTTCTGGAGCGCGGAGGGAGAGGCAGAGCGGGAGCAGGGGACCCTCCCAGAGGGCGGGGGCCAGAGCCTCCTCAGCACCCCTTCCCTGTCCAAGGGGTATCCAACGACACGTCCTCCCTGGAGACCGAGCGCGGCTTTGAGGAGCTGCCCCTCTGCAGCTGCCGCATGGAGGCGCCCAAGATCGACCGCATCAGTGAGAGGGCCGGGCACAAGTGCATGGCCACCGAGAGCGTGGATGGCGAGGTGGGCCTGGGGGGCCCAGCGCCAGCGCCAGCCCCCGTCCATGACTGCACCCCGTTCTCACCCATCCTCACTGTCCTCAGCTGTCTGGCTGCAACGCTGCCATCCTCAAGCGAGAGACCATGAGGCCGTCCAGCCGCGTGGCGCTCATGGTTCTCTGTGAGACCCACCGGGCCCGCATGGTGAAGCACCACTGCTGCCCAGGCTGCGGCTACTTCTGCACGGCGGTGAGTGCCCAGCAGGCACGAGGGTGGCCTCCCCATGAGAGCTGCCCCAGCCTGACTGTGCCCTCCCCTGAACCAGGGCACCTTCCTAGAGTGCCACCCCGACTTCCGTGTCGCCCACCGCTTCCACAAGGCCTGTGTGTCCCAGCTCAACGGCATGGTCTTCTGTCCCCATTGTGGGGAGGATGCTTCTGAGGCCCAGGAGGTGACCATTCCCCGGGGTGACGGGGGCACCCCTCCAGCCGGCACTGTAGCCCCTGCACCCCCGCCCCTGGCCCCGGATGCCCCAGGGAGAGCGGATGCTTCCCAGCCCAGGTACTGGCCTCCCTCCCTGCTCTGCCCTTGTCCGCGTCGCCCGTCTCCACACCCACCTCAGAACCTCCTCCCGCAGCGCCCGGATGCGGGGCCAGGGGGAGCCGCGGCGGCCACCCTGTGATCCCCTGGCTGACACCATCGACAGCTCGGGCCCCTCCCTGACGCTGCCCAGTGGGGGCTGCCTCTCAGCTGTGGGGCTGCCGCTGGGCCCAGGCCGCGAGGCCCTGGAGAAGGCCCTGGTCATCCAGGAGTCGGAGAGGTGAGTGGGCATTGCTCCTGCAGGGACAGGGTGCTGCGCCAATGCCCAGTGCTGAGTGGCCGGGCTCCCCTCCTCTGCAGGCGGAAGAAGCTGCGTTTCCACCCCCGGCAGCTGTACCTGTCTGTGAAGCAAGGGGAGCTCCAGAAGGTGATCTTGATGCTCTGTGAGTACACATCCCGCCCAGCCAGCTCTCCGGAGCCCACCATGAGACACAGTCCTGACCAGGGCCACTTAGCGTGGACCCCCGCCTGCTAGTCCCAGCCTGTGCTCACATGATAACACACTTAGCCCTTCCCAGCATGGAGCCTCCGAGACCAGGTGTCTTGCTCAGTGTACAACCCTGCTGAGAGGCAGGGCCTTCAGGGACAGCTGGCACTCTTACCTCTGCTGAGTGCCCTGAGGGAGGCAGGCATGGAGAGAGCCCAGTAGAGGTGCTGAGAAGCCTCCCAGAAGGAGCATCACCGGCCCCTTGCTTGCTCACCACTTGTTCCTCCTTCTCCCGGTATGGTGGGCTCTCCCACAGTGGACAACCTGGACCCCAACTTCCAGAGCGACCAGCAGAGCAAGCGGACGCCCCTGCATGCGGCCGCCCAGAAGGGCTCGGTGGAGATCTGCCACGTGCTGCTGCAGGTCAGCACGGGCCAGCCCTCTGCCTCACTGTGGGGCCCCCTGCCCTGGCCTGTCCAGCCCTGCCCTGCCCTGCCCAGCCCAGCCCAGCCCCTCCCAGTGCCAGCCTACTGCCCTTCCCTGCAGGCCGGAGCGAACATCAACGCCGTGGACAAGCAGCAGCGGACGCCGCTGATGGAGGCTGTGGTGAACAACCACCTGGAGGTGGCGCGCTACATGGTGCAGCGAGGTGGCTGCGTCTACAGCAAGGTGTGGTGGCCGGGACAGTGGCCCAGGGCGTTGGCCTGGTCGGGGGGCCAGCCAGGGGCCCCACCTGCCATGCCTGTCTCCCTCAGGAGGAGGATGGATCCACCTGCCTCCACCACGCAGCCAAAATCGGCAACTTGGAGATGGTCAGCCTGCTTCTCAGCACGGGACAGGTGGACGTCAATGCCCAGGTCAGTCGCCCTGCACCTCCCTGCTCTGTGCAGCTGTTGGCCCTTCCCCTTCAACCTGACCCCAGCCCTTCCACCGTCTGGGTGTCTCTGCCCTCTCCTCCCTGTCAGATTTTGGAAGCACGAGCTCCTGTTTTGTCTGAGTGCTGACAGCCTATTAGCTCTCGTGGGGCAGCATGCTCGATTAGCTGCCCGTCTCCGTGCTGGGACATCCCTGTTTGTCCCCGGAGCCCCTCAGCTCACGTCCTATGGCCTGTTACCTCAGCACACTCAGGCCCTGCTGTTTCTCTAAGACTCAGTTCTGTGAGGCTACAGAGAGCCCATTCTTTGTCCTTCGGATTTGTTGCTTCTGGGCTGGCCCTGCCCTTAGGACTTGGAATGGGTAGATCTAGGAAATACGCGTGTTTGAGAAGGAGAAAAATACTCAGCTCCTTCCTGCAGCCTCGGGTCATGGGCACTGTCCTTGCCCCGTTACAGAAGAGGAAACTCAGGCCCAGAGACCTCAGGCCCAGAGACGGGGGTGTGGGGGTGTGGAGCTGGCATGCGAACGCCTGCTCTGGACCGGAAGCGGAAGCGCTCTGCGCTCTAGTGGGCGGTGGCTCCGCCTCACCACGTTCTACCCGCCCGGACCCACAGGACAGCGGCGGGTGGACACCCATCATCTGGGCGGCAGAGCACAAGCACATCGACGTGATCCGCATGCTGCTGACGCGGGGCGCCGACGTCACACTCACCGACAACGTGAGCGCGAGCTGCGGGCCGGCGGGAGGGGCAGCCCAGGCCCGAGCAGCCGGGGTTCACTCACCGGCCCCTCCCGCCCCCCTCGCAGGAGGAGAACATCTGCCTGCACTGGGCCTCCTTCACGGGCAGCGCCGCCATCGCTGAGGTCCTCCTGAACGCCCGCTGCGACCTCCACGCCGTCAACTACCACGGGGACACACCCTTGCACATCGCGGCCCGCGAGAGCTACCACGACTGTGTGCTGTGAGCCCCCGCCCCGCCCCGCGCCCACCTGCGCCCACCCCAGGACGCGCGCCCACCCGCTCCCTGTCCCCCAGGCTGTTCCTGTCCCGGGGGGCCAACCCGGAGCTGCGGAACAAGGAGGGGGACACAGCGTGGGACCTGACCCCCGAGCGCTCCGACGTGTGGTTTGCGCTCCAGCTCAACCGCAAGCTCCGGCTGGGGGTGGGAAACCGGGCCATCCGCACCGAGAAGATCATCTGCCGGTGAGCCCGGGGCCCCGCGGCCCCATCGGCATATGGAGTCCCCCTAGCCCCCCAAGTCCTCTCCCAAGGTGGTTCATAAATACAGCGAATAAAAAGAGAGGACACCCAGTTAATGTAGAGCTTCATAGTGAAACCCAGTCTCAAACAAAAAATATTTTCAGATGAACATATACATGCTTTTTTAGTATGAAGATGTCCCATGTGCTGGCACGTGGCCCATGCCCGTTAATCGTGGCTGCACAGGAGGCTGAAGCAGGAGGATCACAAGTTTGAGGCCAGTCTGGGCAACCTAGCCAGACCCTGTCTCAAAATGGAAAGGGCCAGGGGAATAGCTCAGCACCAGAGCACTTCTGTAGCCTGTGTGAGGCCCTGGGTTCAGTCCCCAGACCGCAAAGAAAAAAGTCCCATTTAATATTTGGGATAAAGTTATGCTAAAATGTTATTCCTTGTTGATTTGAAATTCAGCTCTGACTGGGCGTCTTGCATTTTATTTAGCACCCTTATTCCCCACGCCCTGATGGACCCCTGAATCCCCCCTTTTCCCCCGCCTCAAAAGCATCCTGCCATGGCTAGGGGATCCCCTCCTCCTGTTCCAGCCCCAGGCCTGTCCCCCCTTCCATAGGGATGTGGCTCGGGGCTATGAGAACGTGCCCATCCCCTGTGTGAACGGCGTGGACGGGGAGCCCTGCCCCGAGGATTACAAGTACATCTCCGAGAACTGCGAGACGTCCACCATGAACATCGACCGCAACATCACCCACCTGCAGGTGGGGCGCCCCCTGGGGAAAGGGCCCCTCTCCCAGGCTGGGGAAGACAGCCCGAGGGTGAGCCCAGGACACCCCGCCGGCACCGTCTGGACTCCCTCCCCCTGGGCCTGTCCCCAGCCCTGTCCTAGTACCTGAGTCCCAGAGAAAGAGCAGGCACGCAGGGAGTGGGGCCGGGTCAGCTCGGGGCCAGGGCAGTGCTGACGTCTGTCCCCGCAGCACTGCACGTGTGTGGACGACTGCTCTAGCTCCAACTGCCTGTGTGGCCAGCTCAGCATCCGGTGCTGGTACGACAAGGTGGGTGCCCTCTCCTGGCCGCTCCCTCCACAGCCCTTCAGGGCTCTGGGACCTCGGTTTTTCCCTATGGTGGAGAAGGGGCGGGAGTGGGCCCTGTGCCCAGGTGTATGCAAATCAGGTTCTGGGCCTGAGTATTTCCTGGTCCCTGACCTCCAGCCTTGGGCTCCGCCTCCCCAGCCCTGGGGTCAGCACTGGGTTTTCCTGGTGAGTCTTGGGGGTCCTGGGCGGCCAATGTGGGCCCCACGAAACTGCCACCCCTACCCCCGCTCCACCCCGCCCCAGGACGGGCGGCTGCTCCAGGAGTTTAACAAGATTGAGCCCCCGCTGATCTTCGAGTGTAACCAGGCCTGCTCCTGCTGGAGAAACTGCAAGAACCGGGTGGTGCAGAGTGGCATCAAGTGAGTCCCGGCCTCCCCGCCGCCGCCCCAGCTTCTCTGGCCCAGAACCCAGCGTCTCCTCTCCCACCCCAGGGTGCGACTGCAGCTGTATCGGACTGCCAAGATGGGCTGGGGGGTCCGCGCCCTGCAGACAATCCCCCAGGGCACCTTCATCTGCGAGTGAGTTGGCCGGGCAGCCAGCCCTGGGCCGCGGGCATCTGGCTCTCCCCGCCCACCGTCTTCCTGGCCCCTGTCCTCTTGCTGTCCCAGCTCTCAGCCCCTTGCTCCCTCCTGGGCCTCAGACTGCTGGAGGCTGCCCTTGCTGCACCCTCTGCACCCCCTGCCACCCCACCCCACCCGACCCGACCCGTCCAGCCTGGCTCTCCTGGCATCTCCCACTCCTGTCAGGCCGCCTGGCTCCCACTGCTATTCTCACCTGGGCCAGCCACCAACTCCTCTTCCTCCCTTGCATCCTCACCCCAGCCCCAAGATCCTCCTCGTTCCCTCTTCCTGTGGCCCAGCCCCTGCCTCTCCTGGCCCTCCTGGCCCGCTGGGTGGGCCCTGGCACTCAAACCTCAGTGTCTACACCTGACCGAGCTTCTTCCCCACTTCCTCTCCAAGCCCACCGCACTGATCCCTCAGAGGCTGCCTTGTTCTCTGTGCCCCAGGCTCAGCCCTGCCCTCTCGCTTCCCCCATCCAGTGGGGACTGCAGCTGGCAGGATTGTGCCCTGGGTGCTGCTCATGGGCCTGTGTCCTAGTCCTGCTCCCAACACCCACTCCTCCCCAGTGGTGGTGTCCTTGGCCCACTGTGTGTCGGGTCTCCCACCTGTGAGGCTCAGGCAGTGGTGGCAGCTGAGGAGCAGGGGAGGATCCCAGAAGCCTCAGAGCCACCTGCCCCAGCCCTGCTCACCTTCAGAGCCGCTGGTCCCTGTCCAACAGGTACGTTGGGGAGCTGATCTCCGACGCCGAGGCTGACGTGCGAGAGGATGATTCTTACCTCTTTGACTTGGACAACAAGGTAAGTGGGGCCCCGCTGTCCCCTGCTCCCAGGCTGGGCTCCGGGGCTCCCCGGGCAGTCCACAGGTGGGCAGCTGGGGAGGAGGGACAGAGACCCATGTGCAGAGGCTGCCCCTCCCCCAGGACGGAGAGGTCTACTGCATTGACGCCCGTTACTATGGCAACATCAGCCGGTTCATCAACCACCTGTGCGACCCCAACATCATCCCTGTCCGAGTCTTCATGCTTCACCAAGACCTTCGGTTCCCACGCATCGCCTTCTTCAGCTCCCGAGACATCCGGACCGGGGAGGAGCTGGGGTGAGGTGGCCCGTGGGGACCTGGGGCCGGCCAGGGGCTCAGGAGCTGCTCAGATCTCGGTGAACTTACGAGTCCCTTACCAGACTCATCAACCCATTTATGCTGAAGCTTGTGATTTTTTGAATTTTTGCATAAAATTAATATGTTACCTAGAAAACTTTAGCTCAGTGGTTAGCCACCTGCCTCGCAAACATAAGGTTCCGAGTTCGATCCCCGATACCAAAAAAAAAAAATTTAAGGAACAAAACCTCGAGGAGGAAAATTTTCATTACGTTCCATTGTTATGTGTCATTCCAAATATAGAACACAAGGCATAAATGGCTTCGGACAAGTCCTGACAGTCACTGAGGCACGGGCGGTCCCAGAGCTTGCATTTACGTTCTGAGGCGGCAGCAGAGCTGCGAGCCCATGGAACTCACAGGGCCTGAGTCCCTCAGGGGAGCAGGACCCACAGGGTCTCTAGGGTGGGCAGTGGAGTCCAAACCCCAAAGCTCTGGTGCTCCTGACAGCTTTGACTATGGCGACCGCTTCTGGGACATCAAGAGCAAGTACTTCACCTGCCAGTGTGGCTCCGAGAAGTGCAAGCATTCGGCGGAGGCCATTGCGCTGGAGCAGAGCCGCCTGGCCCGCCTAGACCCCCACCCCGAGCTGCTGCCGGAGCTCAGCTCCCTGCCCCCTGTCAACACCTGAAAACGGACCACACCCTGTCCCCTGTCCCTGCCCGGGAGGCCAGCAGCTCAGGGAGGCCAGCAGCTCAGCGGCCTCTGCTGCTCAGCCCAGCCTGGGGCGCTACCACCTCCTCTGCCACCTGCCACCCTTCACACATTCCTGCCCCCCGCTCCACAGGCCCTGGAGGTCTGAGCCCCTCTCCCGGCGCCGGCTCCTCCCTGGGACCCTGACTCAGGGCTGCCCCACCCCCCACCCCTCCCCTGGCGTCGGATGAATTGAAGTTGGGCTTCTGTGCCGACTGGGTTCTTTTCCTCAGTAAATGTTGGGTTTGGTAATAAACTGCCTGCCTGCGTGCTTGTTGTGGGGAGGTGGAGAAGTGGGGTCTGGGGGCAGGTCCTGGGGTGCAGGCTGGTGGATGTGGCCACGTGGGCCGCTCCCAGCAGGAGGTGAGGATGTGGGGACTTTGGTGGCTGGGCCAGTCCAGGGCTTAGAGAAAGGCAAATCTGGACATCGGTCCTGGGCAGAAGGATGTGGCTGGAGGACACAGGTCCAGGTGCTTTGCAGAACTCTGAAGGGCTTTCCAGTCGGAGCTTGCCGGCCCTTCCTGCCGCAAACCATGCGGCCCCCAGCTCCTGGTGCAGCTGCCCCAGGGGCTGCAGCAGTGGAGTTCAGAAGGAGGAACTGGAGAGAGGAGCGGGGCCATGGGGTGGGGCTGTGGGGCGGGGCCGGGCGCAGGTGAGCACCAGGGCTCCAGGGCTCCCGGCTCCAGTCACTCTGGAGACTGAGCCATGGGGGGAAAGCCGAGTGAGGACGGGGCCTACGGTGAGGCTGGGCACCCGGGCCGGAGGGTGGGAGGCCCGTCTCTGTGGGGGCCAAGCTGGTCCAGGAGCGGAGATGGGCGATCCTGGGTCCCTGAGGGCAGAGCCCTCCAAACCTGATGGAGGACGCAGAGCCCAGGTCCTGGGAGGAGCTGCCTCGGCCTGGGCCTTGGCTGGGGAGCCTTTGTGGGCTGAAGCAAGGGTTGGGGTGTGCTTCAGGCTTTGGGGCTGGGGTCCCTGTGAGGGGAGGAAGTAGGCGAGATTTTCAGGCCAGGGGGACTGTGGGTCCCTGAGGGCAGAGCCTGGCAAACAAAGCCTGGCTGGAAGGTGGGAGAGGGGGTTTCCGCTGGAGAAAGACCTGCGGCTGGCCGGCTGGCTGCAGTGTCATAGCTGCGAGGGCCAGGGCTGGGCTTGGGGGGAGTGGGAGGGGTCCTGCCCAGCCTTGGGCTGTGGGAGGCTGCGGCAGGGGAGGTGAGGGCTGCAGGGTGGCCCTGTGCACTGAGGAGGGGAGCTGTGGGCGACCCGCTGCGCTCCCACCATGAGGAATGGCAGGAGAGGGTCTCGGGTGGCTGGGAGGAGCTGGAGGCCAGCCATGTCTGGGGTCTCGGTACTTGGAGGAATGGGCTGGGCCTCCTGGGGCTCCTGCCATGGTGAGGCCTGAAGGAAGAGGGAGCAGGAAGCCCATTTCCAGAACCTGTGGGGAGAGGGTGGAGGCTGTGCCAGGGCCCGAGGCACAGCGGTGGGAGAGGAACTGGGGGCACCCAGGACCCCCCAGCAGTGAGGTCCCCTGGGGCTGGCGGGGAGCGAGCTCTGAAGGACAGGAAGGACTGGACAGGAGCATTTTCCAGAAGACTTCCCGGAGTAGCTGTGGGTCAATCATTGACCTCCTGCCCGTAAGGGCTATGGCCAGAGTCCACGCTCCCTGGGGGAGTGGATCTCGCTCCTTCGGAGAATGAGGCCCAGCCCTGGGCCCTCCCTCAAGGTGCCCACACAGGACCCTGGTACCTGGCCCCACCTCCGCTGTGTGTGTACCCAGGGAGGACCAGGAACAGGACGTGGCCTCCTCCGCCGCAGCTCGCAGCTCGGGTGTCACTGACTGGCCTCCCCAAACTTGGCTGTGGTTTGGAGACAAAGGTCCCTTTGAGTGGGGTCCATCGGGGCTCTCTCCCTGCCTCTGCCCTGTGGTGGCTGACACCTTGGCTCCAGGCTCTTGGCCCTTGGCCTGGGAGAGTGTGGGAGCAGCACCTGGGGCGGCCTCGAGCAGTGGCTGTGCCTCCCCCATGCCAGTGACCCAGAGCAGGGCATGGGGTAGGAGGAGGAGGCAGGGCCAGGGCAGGAGCCCGGAGACAGAGTCCTACATCCGGCTGCAGGGGCCTGGGGAGAAACAGGCCAGGCTGTGGGCCAGGAACCCCGGCCCCCTCCCAGGCCAGCAGCCTTGAGTGCCAGCTGGAAACCCAGAAAGGCCCCTACCTGCCCGCCTGCCTCCGGGGAGACTTCATGGCTGGATCCCAGTGGTCCTGCTTCCTAGTTCCCTCTTCTGCCGTCTGGCCCTGGGCAGGTTCCTGGGACCAGGGGGGCACCCGGGAGGGACATGCTGCGGGGTAAGGGAGAGTTCAGTGCCTCTTTCTCCTCCTCATGCCCCTCAGGGAAACCGGCCCAATATGACCCCTCCTTTCGAGGCCCCATCAAAAACAGGTGCGTTCTGGGCACTCCCCTGGCGGGGAGGATCCTGTTTTTCCTTTGTATTTGCTGAAATATTAGTAAGAAACTTAGCTCTGGCACAGTGGCACACACCTATAATCTCAGCATCTGGGAGGCTGAAGCTGGAGGATCTCAAGCCTGAACACATAGTGAGACTCTTATCTCAGGAGGAAAAAAATTTAGAAAAATCCCTGCCCGAGGAGAATGGTAGCCTGCAGCATTTGTTGTGTCTGCTCCTGGGGCTGGAGACTTTCTGTTTATGGCCTTGAGCACTGGCTACACAGGTGTGTATTTGGGGAAACTCACCCAGCCGGGCACAAACTTGAGCTGTGCTGGGAACTGAATGCTAAGCACACGCGCTGCCAGGCTGAGCTGAGCTGTGCTTCTGTGCTGCCCCTCAGAAGAAAGATATCCACCCAGAAAACGGGCTTTGTTGTGGTGGTGGCGGTGACAGCCGCAGCACATCTCAGCCCTCTTTATTTGTTTTTTTAATTTTGAGACAAGGTCTCGCTGAGTCGCTAAGTTGTCCAGGCTGAGTTTGAACTTGCTATCCTCCTGCCTCAGCCTCCCAGAGTGGCAGGATTCCAGGCTGTCGCGCTATGCCAGGCTCAGAAAAAAGGTGGGTTTTTTGGTACCAGGGATTGAACTCAGGACCTTGCGCTTGCCAGGCAGGTGGCGGAACCACTGAGCGAAATCCCTCCCCCCACCAAGGTTCTTTTTTTCAAATCAACAACAAAGACCACGCTGAGACCCACTCTCAGTGCTCGCAGCTCTACCCTCCGCCCTCCACACTGGGCCCCACGCTCCCCATCCTCCCAGCTCAGGCTCCCACTCCTCTCCCAGGGGCTGCACCGACGTCATCTGCTGCCTGCTCTTCCTGGTCTTCATTTTGGGCTACATCGCGGTGGGCATCGTGGGTGAGTTTCCAGCCACCTGGAGCAGGGGCCATGGGTGAGCCCCCCCATCCTCCTGTGACGCATCTGTGTGTCGCTGTCCCCAGCCTGGGTGTATGGAGACCCCCGGCAGGTCCTCTACCCCCGGAACTCCACGGGAGCCTACTGTGGCGTGGGGGAGAACAGGTGAGCACTGCACCCCATTCGGGATCCCCCGCCCGTGCCCCCCACCCCCTGAGCCACCCACGCTGGCAGAGCTGTACCCCTCGCTGTCAGGTAGCTGGAGCACCCCGAGATCTCGGTTCAGGAACTGCTATTTACATCCCCAGCTGGGCTAAATTTTGGTTGCATGGCCTTGGACAACTTCCTCAGGGTCCTGGAGCTTTGATTTCCTGCACAGGGATGGTTCAGAAGTGTGGCCATCAAGCCCCACATGCAGGAAATGTTTAATAAAACCCTGTCACATTTATAGAGCATTTACTGTGTTCCAGGCAGGCACTGCACTTTACACACAGACTCTTCAAAGCTTCATGAGATCTGGGTGTGGTGGCTCACACCTGCAATCCCAGCACTGTGGCAGTAGGAGGCAGGAGGGCTGCACATTCTGGCCCAGCCTGGGCAGTTTATCAATCTAATGAGACCCTTTCTCCAAAATAAACCAAAAAATCACGAGGCATGGTGGCACAGGCCTGTAATCCCAGCACTGAGGCTGGATTAAGGCTAAGGCAGGATTGCCTCGAGTTCGAGGCCAGCCAGGGCTACGTAGTAAGTTCAAGTCCAGCCTGAACTCCATAGCGAGGCCCTGTCTCAAACACACACACACACACACACACACACACACACACAATAAAAGGGACTTGGAATGTAGTTCAATGTTCAATCCTCAGTAAAAAATAAAATGAAAACTAAAATCTCATTAGGTCGATACTATCTTTTTTTTCCTTAGTACTGGGGATTGAACCCAGGATCTTTGCACTGAGCTATTTCCCCAGCCCTTGTTTTGTTTGTTTTTTGAGACCGGGTCTCCCATGCAGTCCAGGCCAGCCTGGAACTTGTGAAGATCCTCCTGCCTCAGCCTCTCTAGTGCTGGGAGTACTGGCCTGGATCACCATGCCCAGCTACATCCCCAGCCCTTTTTAAACAGCTTTTAGTGTTAAGACAGAGTTGCTAAGTCACCCAGACTGGGCTGGAGCTTTCTATCCTCCTGCCTCAGTCTCCCAGAGTGCTGGAATGACAGGTGTGCGCCAGCACGCCCGGCAGAAACCACTGTCCTTCTCTACTGGCTGAGGTGGAGCCAGGACTGTCCAGTGACATGTGCTCCATCGTAAGGCTGGGAGGAGGGACCTGGGCTCCGTAACTGACACTTTTAGCCGCTCCTTGGTTCACCGTGCAGTGTGGTTGGTGTGGGGAGTCACGCAGGGAGCCCCTCACCTCCCCAGACGAGCTGGGTCAGAAGCTGGACGGGACTCGTCCAGGCCGCACGGGGTCCACTACACTCAGCGAGCGACCTAGTCACCCCCTCACCACCTTGCCTCGGCCCTGACTCGTGCACACTCTCCCTGCAGGGACAAACCCTATGTCCTGTACTTCAACATCCTCAGCTGCATCCTGGGCACCAACATCATCTCAGCCGTGCAGGGCAGCCTGCAGTGCCCCACGCCCCAGGTTAGAGCCAAGCCCTGACCCTGCCTCTCCTGCCCCGGGCTGCAGGGCTCGGCCCCTCAGCGTGTTCTCGGCCCCCAGGTGTGCGTGGCCTCCTGCCCAGTGGCCCCATGGGCCGTGGGAACAAACCAATTCTCCATGATGGTTGGCGAGGTCTTCTACAAGGAGAACAAGAGTGTGTGCCTGCCGGGAGTCCCCTCGGACATGGTGAGCGAGCGGCGACCTCGCTGTAACCCAGGAGGGGGCCGGGGCCGGGAGAAGATCGCTGAGCCCCGCGGAGGTGGAGGGTTGTGGGGACCGCATACCCCTCATCCTGTTCTCTGCCTGTGTCCCCTCCCCACCCTAGAAAGTGCTGGAAAGCCTGCAGCAGGAGCTGTGCCCCAGCTTCCTCCTCCCCTCCAACCCAGGTAAGAGGCCGCCCTCCTCAGACACCATCTCCTCCCGAGCTATCCTCGGGGGAAGCCAGGCCCGGAGAGGAAAGCTGGACAGCTCGCCGTGGTAAAACCAGGGTGGGGGCCAGGTCTTCCTTCCTTTCTCAAATGCTGGACCCTGTGGTCAGAGCATCAGCACTTGTGCCTGGCGTGGTGGTGCACACCTGTGAGCCCAGCACTCGGGAGGCTGAGGCAGGAGGATCGCTGGGAGTTAGGCCAGCCTGGGCTGCACAGTGGGTCCAAGGCTGGCCGGGACAACATAGTGAGGCCCTATCTCAGAAAAAGACAAAAAACAAAACAGAGAAAGAATATTAGCGCCTTAGCCCAGGCACTAGGGGCAGATGCAGGGCACATTTAAGCTGCTCCCTGCTTGAGCCTACATTTTAGTGTTCTAGGTGGAAACCAGAGATATTCACAAAGAAAATGCGTCAAAATCCTATGAAAACTTACAGGAGAGAATCTGACTGGGTGACAGGATCATATTGACCATTTTGCTGTATACTCTTCTTTCCAATTGTTTTTTTGTTTTGGTTTGGTTTGGTTTGGTTTTTTTGAAAGAGTCTTGCTGTGTAGCCCAGGCTGGCCTTGAATTAACAGCAATCCTCCTGCCTCATCTTCCCAGTGCTGGGATTACACGCCTGTGCTGCCAAGCCTGGCTCTTCTTTGCAATTATAATTGGGAGTGTGTGTGTGTGTGTGTGTGTGCGCGCGCGCGCACGTTCAACCCCAGGGCCTCACGCGTGCTAGTACCCTACGCTTGAGCTACACCCTAGCCTGTAATGTTTTAAATAGAAAACATTTTTTAAATTATACATGAGAAAAAAACACACCCAGGTTTTTTTTGGTACTGGGGATCGAACTTTGGACCTTACGCTTGTGAGGAAGGCAGTGGAACCACTGAGCTAAATCCCCGCCCCATACTTGTATTGTTCTTATAATGAAAACTGGGTGTGAGGGCTGGGGATTTAGCTCAGTGGTTCCTCCCCCTGCCTCCAAAGCTAAGGTCCTGAGTTGGATTGCTGGTACCAAAAAAAAAAAAAAAGAACAATACAAGTATGTCAAATGAGTGCTCCAAAGTCCGGCAGATCTGGGTTTAAGTTCCAGCAGGGCAGTCTCGGGCCAATCCTGCAGCCTCTCTGACCCTGGTCTCCTCACCTCCAGAACACAATGACAACCCCACCTCGGAGCGCTTCGAGGGTGGCAGCAAACAGCTGCATGGGCCCCACAACTAGAGGACAGGCTGGGGCAACGGCCTGGATGACAGGCCAGCATGGAGGGCCGGGCTCAGGAGGCTGGGCTGCGGCCACAGGGCCTGGAAGCCCTTCCAGAGAGCCGGGCTAGGAGTCCAGCCAGTAGCAGAGCCCCTAGAGCCTCTACTTCGAGTCCTGCTTGGCCATGCCCCGCTCCCTGCCCCTGCCCAGGGTGATGGAGGGTTGGGGCAGGTCGGCCAGAAACCCTGGATAGGGGGGAGGAATGTGGTCCAGATCCAGGCAGAGCAGGGGGAGGCTTTGGGGCTCCGGGCTCCCACCCACGGCCCCTGCTCTCCCCACAGTTCTGGGGCGCTGCTTCCCTTCTCCTGACGTGAACTTCACACTGCCCCAGGTCCCAGAGATCAACAACACCTCCATCTCCCAAGCTGTCAGGTAGGCAGGCGTGGCCTCCCTGTCCGCCATCTGTCTGTCTGAACCTCTCCCCGCTCGGCCCCTCTGACCCGTCCCTCCCCACAGCGGCCTTGTCGATGGCCTCAATGCCCGAGACATCTCTGTGAAGATCTTTGAAGACTTTGCCCGATCCTGGTATTGGATTCTCGTGTGAGTCACCCGATGGCCCCCTTCACCCTTCCTCTCTCCCCTCCCTGACCTGTCCCCCAGCCCCAGGTCGGAAACAGAGGCGGTAGACAAAGGAGGAGGAGCTGGAGCTCAAAGCAGTTCCCAAAGCCAGGCACGGTGGTGCAGGCCTGTAATGCCAGCACTCGGGAGGCCGAGGCAGGAGGATGACAGGTTGGGGGCCAACCTGGGCAGCTGAGCAAGACCCTGTCTTACAATTTTAAAAAAGGGCGTGGGGATGTGGCTCAGTGCAAAGGCCTTGATTCAATCCCCAGTATAAATAAATAAATCAACCCCAGGGTTTTTAGGCAAAGGGCATCTAGACAGGGACATCAGGTTGCAGGAGGAAAGGCAGTGGGACCCTGAGAGGAAATGACTTAGGGGCGGGTGACCTCTCCGCTGTCCCTTGCCCACAGTGCCCTGGGCGTGGCCCTGGTCCTGAGCCTGCTGTTCATCCTGCTTCTGCGCCTGGTGGCCGGGCCGCTGGTGCTGGTGCTGATCGTCGGGGTGCTGGGCGTGCTGGCCTATGGCATCTACCACTGCTGGGAGCGGTACCGGCTGCTGCGGGACAGCAGGGGGCCCTCCCTCTCCCAGGTGGGCTTCACCATCCACCTCAGCACCTACCAGAGCGTCAAGGAGACCTGGCTGGCCGCCCGTGAGTGCCCTGCCCACCCTCCACCGCGGCCCCTCACCGAGCCCCGGGGCTGCAGTCGGCCTGACCTGGCGGGCACTGTCCCCGCAGTGATCATCCTGGCCGTGCTCGAAGCCATCTTGCTCCTCCTGCTCCTCTTCCTGCGGCAGCGGATCCGCATCGCCATCGCGCTGCTCACAGAAGCCAGCAAGTCAGCCCCTGTGTGGGAGGCCGCGGGGCGCAGGGCGGGGAGGTGCGGGGAGCCCAGGGAGAACAGCCAGGTGAGGGCCGCGCCCAGTGGTACAAACTCTGGGAAGCTAAGGCGGGGGATAAGTTTGAGTCTAGCTTGGGCAACCTAGGGAGAAGACCCTGTCTCAAACTAAAATATTTTAAGCGGGGTGGTGATATAGCTCAGTGCAAAGGCCCTGGGTTCAATCCTCAGGGCCAAAAACCAAAACTAAAATACCTGCTGGGTGACAGTGTCCCAGAGCCATGGTTTCCCCATGTGCAGATGAGTGTGGTGGCAGCTCCTAAAGGGTTGCAGAGAGAGGATGACAGGAAGTGGTGCCTGCGAGTGCCCCCCCCCCACCCCCTGGGCCAGCTCAGTGGCTGCTGGGTAGAAATCAGGAGTCAGGCAGCACCCCCCAGGAATTGGCAAATCTTGGGGATGCAGATCCTCCCGCACCAGGCCCTGGGGGTGATGTGGGAGATAAATCAGCCTGGCCAGGGCAGGGGCAGCCTCCCCGGCCCCACAGGGGACAGGACGCTGCCGCCGGGCATGCTGGGCACCAGCCTTGTCTCCTGCAGGGCCGTGGGACACATGATGTCAACCATGCTCTACCCGCTGCTCACCTTCGTCCTCCTGGTCATCTGCGTCGCCTACTGGGTCACCACTGCTCTGTATCCTTCGTCCACGGGGTCCCCTTCCCCCAGAGCCGGAGGGTGCAGGGCAGGCCCTGCCCCCAGGGGTGGCCACAGAGACAGCGTGACTGAGCTCTCCTTGACCCCCACTGGGTACCTGGCCACATCCGGGCAACCCCAGTACGCCTACTGGGTGTCCAACGCCAGCGCGCCAGACTGCAAGGCGGAGCTAGAGCTAGTGAATCAGTCCTGTGACCCCATGGTGAGTAGAGGGCGGGTGGGCGTGGAGGAGACTTGGTAGTCCTGGGGGACCTCAGACCCCTGCTGTGAGAGGTGCCTGAGGCCTGGGAGGGCTGGAGCTCCCACTAGGTCCCTGCACAAGGAGCAGCTGGAAGGGAGGGTGAGGGTGAAGCCGGCCCAGGCCTGGGCACCAGGACTTTCCTCCACCCAGGCCACCATCAGTTAAGGGGTGTCAGCCTCGGGCCCTGCTCTGTAAATGGGGTAATTATCCCAGAGGCTAAATGGCTTCCGTACACAAAGTACTCAGTGCCATATGTGGCATCTGATAGGAGCCACTGTGATCCAATCAGCCATTCCTTTGGAACAAGGCCCTGAGCCACCAGTAGGGAGAGCTCCTGGGGACCGGAGGGAGGCGCTGCTGTCCCAGGACGAGCAGCACTCACTAGAGTGCTGGGCATTCACAGTCCTCAAAGCTATCTTGTCCCGTGTCACCTCATCTGAGCAGGGTCCAGGGACCATGTTTGAAGCCAGCCTGGGCTACACAGTGAGTTCAAGACCAGCCTGAACTACAAAGCAAGACCCTGTCTCAAAAACAAAACAAATAAACAATCGGGGTGTGGGGACACAGGCCTGTAATCCCAGCACTGAGGAGGCTGAGGCAGGAGGATCACTGTGAGTTCAAGGCCAGCCTGGGCTACATAGTGAGTTCAAGACCAGCCTGAACTACAAAGCAAGACCCTGTCTCAAAAACAAAACAAATAAACAATCGGGGTGTGGGGACACAGGCCTGTAATCCCAGCACTGAGGAGGCTGAGGCAGGAGGATCACTGTGAGTTCAAGGCCAGCCTGGGCTACATAGTGAGTTCAAGGCCAGCCTGGACTGCCTAGTGAGACTCTTCCCCAAACAAACAAACAAAATCAATCACCTACAGTGACTTACAAAATAGAAAGTTTTTTATTATAAAATGTGTCAGTTTCAGAAATTATCAAGATTTTGGGGATCACATTTGCTGAACTGGTTTAGGGTTTTTTTTGGGGGGAGGGGGCAGGTTGGTACCGGGAATCAAACTCAAGGCCTCACGCTTTCGAGGCAGGCGGCAGAACCACTGAGCTACATCCCCGGCCCTGGTTTAGTGTTTATTTGTGCATTTTTAGTTTTCATTATGGACATTTCCAAACCTGTGCAACAGTAGATAACAATGGAGTGTTTTGGGTTTTGATTGTTTTCAGCAGTGTAACCCCCAGATCTTGAGCAAGCTTGGTGAGTTCTACCAAGGAGCCAAATCCCTGGGGGTTCAACACCTGGGTGTTTGCAGCCAGCCTTTGAGGGACTTTTAAATACAAACTGTGGACATCATGCCATTGCACATGTAAACATGTCAGGATGAATTTCACCAACAACTTTGAAAAATCATAGCCGGCTGGGTGAGGAGCAGGTCCCAGGAGCCCGTGTGGTGACACAGGCCTATAATCCGAGCACTCTGGGAGGCTGAGGCAGAAAAATCCTTAAGTTTGAGCTCAACCTAGACAATTTAGGGAGACCCTGTCAGAAAATAAACACTTTGTAAAAGGGTTGGGGATGAAGCTGTGTGCTACGAGGGGACAGAAAAGCATAACTAGGGGTGTTGTAGCTCAGAGGTAGAGCGCTTGCCTGGGTATACAGAAGGCCACAGGTTTGATTCTCAGCAACAGACACACACACGCACCCATGCATGCACACGCACAGCAAAACCACTGTGCCATTGTCACAGGCAACAAAATAATTCCCTAATTTCATCAAATACCCAGTCTATTCAGTTTTGGAGCATGCACACGCATGTGTGTGTGCCTGTGTGGTTTTTGTCTCTTTGTTGTTTTTTTTGTTTTGTTTTGTTTTTTGGGTTTTGTTTTGTACCGGGGATTGTGTTTTGTTTTGTTTTTAAGACAGGAAGGGCCGGGGATTTAGCTCAGTGGTTCTGACGCCTGCCTCACAAGCGCAAGGACCCGAGTTCGATCCCCAGTAACCCCCCCCAAAAAAGGTAAGAATTGTTTTTGAGACAGGATCTCACTTCAGTGTAGTTCAGACTGGCCTTGAACTCACTATGTAGCCCAGGCCAGCCTCCAACTCAGACCCTCCTCCCTCTGCCTCCTGAGTGCTGGGATTATGGGTGTGCACACCACCTCCAGGCTGGAAAGTGTTTTGAAGTGGCTGAGGGTGCCCTGGGGAGGGCCAATGACCTCCACACACGTAGTCAGGCTTCCAGGAAGCCCCAGATCTCTTGTGCCTGTCAGACACAAGAATGCTAAATACACTTATACAGTAGATGAACAGGAACGGGCTCCCCCAGCCCAGAGAGGCTGGCAGGTGGAGCTCAGGGGTCCCCATGAGGTCTCAGAAGCTGGGCCTGAGCCTATGCCACCCTCCCTGCCATCCCAGGCCCAGCCCAAGAACTCCTCGTGCCCGGGGCTGATGTGCGTCTTCCAGGGCTACTCGTCCACAGGCCCCGGCCAGCGGACCCTCTTCAACCTGCAAGTCTATGGTGTCCTGGGGCTCTTCTGGACCATTAACTGGGTGCTGGCCCTGGGCCAGTGCGTCCTGGCCGGGGCCTTTGCCTCCTTCTACTGGGCCTTCCACAAGCCCCAGGACATCCCCACCTTCCCCCTGAGCGCAGCCTTCATCCGCACCCTGCGGTGAGCGGGGGTGGGGGTGGGGACACCGGCCTGCGATGTGAGCGGTGACATTGGGGATCCCAGAGCCCAGTCTGACGACCTAACGCCCTCTGCAGCTACCACACGGGCTCCCTGGCATTTGGGGCCCTCATCCTGACCCTCGTGCAGATAGCCCGGTTGGTGCTGGAGTACATGGACCACAAGTTGAGAGGTGGGCCGGGCGGGCGGACTGCACTGGGGACCCTGGGCAGGGGAGCCGGAGGCCGGGGACCAAGCTCGGGCTTCCCTATCCCAGGAGCCCAGAACGCTTTGGCCCGCTGCATCGTGTGCTGCTTCAAGTGCTGCCTCTGGTGTCTGGAAAAGTTCATCAAGTTCCTGAACCGCAACGCGTACATCATGGTGAGCTGTGCGTGCGTGCGCATGAGCCCCCCGCTCCGGCGCTGGCCGGCTCCCCACGGGGCTCTGACTTTGCCCACAGATCGCCATCTATGGGAAGAATTTCTGTGTCTCGGCCAAAAATGCCTTCATGCTGCTCATGCGGAACGTCCTCAGGTCAGGCCGTCCACACCCCTGCGGACCCCTCCTCAGATTTCCCACCCAAAGCGAACCTGCTATGCCCAGAGGAGCTCTGAACTCGCTTTAATGCTCTACTGTCATTGTCTGGAAATGTGAACAATAGGCACTTCAAACCTGCCCCTGCCAATTTTGTTTGTATATTTTTGTTGGTACCGGGGATCAAACCCAGGGCCTTTGCACTGAGCTGCATCTCCAGCCCTTCTTTATTTGCAAACAGGGTCTCTAGGCTGAGGATTTAGCTCAGGGGCACCGTGCCTGCCTTGCCTGCCTCGCAAGTGCAAGGTCCTGAGTTCGACCCCTGGTACCAACAACAACAACAGCAATAAAACCTTACGCCTGTGAACAGGTTCTCACTCGTCACTAAATTACCAAGAATCGAACTTGTGAGCCTCCTGCCTCAGTCTGCCTAAGTGCTGGGGTTCCAGGCCTGCAACACCCACCCAGCTGTCCTGCAAGTTCTGCTCCCTGCACCTCCTCCGAGCATCTGACCCCCAACCTCTCCCAACTTCCCCACAGGGTGGTTGTCCTGGATAAAGTCACAGACCTGCTGCTGTTTTTCGGGAAGCTGCTGGTGGTCGGAGGCGTGGGTAAGGGGCAAGACCAGTCCTTACAGGTTAGAGGGGGGCTGCCGAGGGGCCCAGGGGTGAGGTCGGAGGACCAGTCCTGACCTTTCAGCTCTCCCACAGGCGTCCTGTCCTTCTTTTTCTTCTCCGGTCGCATCAAGGGGCTGGGTAAGGACTTTGAGAGCCCTGACCTCAACTATTACTGGCTTCCCATCATGGTGAGTGACTCCTCTCTCTGCCTCGGGCCCCCACTCCCCAAAGGAAGCCAGCGGCTCCCGCCAGCCTTCTCTCTTGCAGACCACCATCATGGGGGCCTACGTCATCGCCAGCGGCTTCTTCAGCGTTTTCGGCATGTGTGTGGACACACTCTTCCTGTGTTTCCGTGAGTGACCACCCCCCCCACCCCCCCGCTGCTCCCGGCCACCTCAAGGTTCTCGTTCAGGCCTTTTCCGTTTGCGTTTGCGGAGACTCCGGGTTGTAGAGACACCACTTTGTAAGCTAAGGGAGCCAGAGAGAGGTCATCTGACTGCCTAAGGCCAGGGGGTGGGGGCAGGGAGGGAGGAAACCTAGAGACTTCCCAGCAGGTGGCTGTAGTGAGGGGATTTGCTTTCCGCCCGCGCTCCTCTGCGGCACTCCGGTTTGGTGCCTGCCCGGGTGCCTGTGTCCGGGGCCGACCCGGTCCTCGAGCACGCGGAGCACGTGGTCAGCCTCTGACCCACAGAGCCAACGCCTTTTTCTGTTACCTTTATTATTATCACTCTGTGAAATACGGTGTGATCGGCCCGCTTCCCACGAGGAAACTGCGACGACACCTCCCGAGGGTGCAGCGGGAGGGGACGTCTTCCGGGGCGGGGCCGCTGACCCTCTCCGTTGCCGCGCAGTGGAGGACCTGGAGCGGAACGACGGCTCCCTGCACCGGCCCTACTACATGTCCAAGAATCTGCTGAAGATTCTGGGCAAGAAGAACCAGGGGCCCCCCGGGGACAAGAAGGGGAAGAAGTGAGACGAGACCCCGCCGACCCAGGCCTGCGCCCCGACTGTACAGACGCCTCGCCACACTTTGCCTTACAGATGCCAAGTGTATAGTAATTTTAATAAAAATTAAAGACCGCTATTTTTGTTTTCTCAATAAGTCTGGGTTTTTATTGCCTTGACACGCCTGTATTACCCCCAACACCGCGCGCCGGCCTCTTTAAAACCGGCCCGCCCCGTGACGCACCCCAGACGTCGCGACCAATCGAAAGGCTCACCGGAATGAGTCCGCCTTTTCTTTCTTTTCTTTTTTTTTTGAGACAGAGTCTCGATACATAGTTCGGCCTGGCCTTGAACTCACTATGTAGCCCAGGCTGACCGAACTCGTCGAAATCCTCCTGCCTCAGCATCCCAAGTGCTGGGATTACAGGTGTGCTCCCCACACCCAGCAAATCCGCCTTCTTCACGCCCACAGCCAATAGATTCTGCCATTAGGGTCACGCGCTCCGGAGTTTCACAGAGGGCCAATCAGAAGGGCGTGCTCTGAGACCTGGGGGCGGGCGGGCTACGTCACACGGGGGAAGACGAATCAGAGTCGCGGAAGCAAGGCGCGGGGGGAGGGGGCGTCCGGTGTGGGGCGGGGCGTCCGGTGTGGGGCGGGCCGGGAGTCGACCTGGGGCGGTTTAAAGGGCCGGGTCAGCTGACCGTCCCCAGACCCGGTTTCGTCTGCCGCGGGAAAAGGGTAGGAGCGGCCGTCTGTGCGCTGTGGGCGGGCCTTGCGGACCCGACATGCCGGGCTCCTGGGAAGGCGCCAGGGCCCGCGCGCTGGCCGCGGTCTTCTCGCTGCTCCTGTCCCTGGTGGGGCTGGGGGCGAGGGCTGCGGATGACTTCAGCCAGGTGAGCCCGCGCGGCCACTCCCCGCCCCCGGGCCTCCCCGCTGCCTTCGAGCCGCCCCTTTCGGGATCCGGGACCGCGGGCCTGGATCGGAGCCGCCGCCCCGGTCCTCCAGCCCGTCGAGCCCTCGCTCCTGCCGCGCAGGTGCAGCCGCTGGTGACCATGGAGCAGCTGCTGTGGCTGAGCGGCAGGCAGATCGGCGCCGTGGACACCTTCCGCATCCCGCTGATCGCAGCCACCCCTCGGGGCACCCTGCTCGCCTTCGCCGAGGCCAGGAAGATGTCTGCGTCCGACGAGGGCGCCAAGTTCATCGCCCTGCGGAGGTCCACCGACCAGGGTATGCAGGTGCCTGGGATGGAAGAGCCAGTCTGGGTCTGATGCAGGGACCCTCATCAGCCCAGGGGCCTAAGGTCGTGCAAAGCGTTGGTCGCAAAATGAATTGAGTGTAGAATGCACGTTACAATATTCAGAACAAAGAAATGGTCAGAGGAAACTTCAATTTGATGATTTTGCTGTTATTTGCATCACTCGTGCATGCAGTGCTGTGATATGTAACAGAACATACGACCCCAGTGCTGTGCATACAGCGCGAAATCACAGTACGGAGCTGCAGACGAAGCCCCTGTAATCCGCACTGCCGCTCACATTCCTGGGCCGGAGTCCTCTCATGAACCAGATCGGTCACTACACGGGACATCTGTATGGCCCTGAACAGAACAGCTAAACCCTTCCTTGCGCAGAACTTGTGTTCTATGGGTAGGAGATAGACAGTAAGCATAATTTAAGGCTTTCTTTCTTTCTTTCTTTCTTTCTTTTTGGGTACGGGGGATCAAACTCAGGACCTTGCTTCTGCAAGGCAGGTGGTGGAACCACTGAGCTGAATCCCCGGCCTGTTAAGGTTTGTTTTTATGTAGGAGAAGGTGATTGAACAATGAAGAAAAATAAAACAGGGCAAGAGGTATGGGGAGTGCTAGTGTTTGGTCGCAGCTCTAAATAGGTGACATCTGAGCAGAGGCTGGGAGGAGGTGACCGTGAACCGAGAGAAGGGGTGACCCAGGCTGACAGCAAGGCCATGCAAAGCCCTGACAAAGGGACGGGATTTGGAAAACTCACATGGTTGGAGGGAGCGAGGGATCCGTAGCAGTAAGATGGGGAGGGAAGGAGGGCAGGGCTTCCAGGGCCCTGGAATGCCATGAGGCCTGGGGTCCCTAAGGAGAGGCAGGGAGTTACCAAGGAGCAGAAGGAAGCGCAGTCCAGAGGGCTCATTCTGCACGCTTCCCTGTTTCCCAGGCAGCACGTGGTCCTCCACAGCGTTCATTGTGGATGACGGCGAGGTCTCTGATGGGCTGAACCTGGGGGCAGTGGTGAGCGATGTGGAGACGGGAGTCGTGTTTCTCTTCTACACACTCTGTGCCCACAAGTTCCGCTGCCAGGTGGCTTCCACCATGCTGGTGTGGAGCAAGAATGACGGCGTTTCCTGGAGCCCACCCCGGAACCTCTCCGTGGACATTGGCACCGAGATGTTTGCCCCTGGACCAGGCTCTGGCATTCAGGTCTCTGTCTGGGCCATTGGGAGTCTGGGCAGGGCCCGGAAATAAGTCTCTGTCCAGAGGGAAGACCCTGGGAAGTCAAATTTCCTGTTTGGGGTGGGATTCCTTGGAAGGAAGGGATATCCTGGAAGAACACCCTACCTGGGGAAGAGGGAACTTTGCTGCGGGCCCCGGAAGTCCCACAAGGCTGCTGCAGGTACCTTCATGCAGAGCAGGAAAGGGCCCTTCCTTTGGGCGGACTCGAGCCTGTAGCGCAGCATCCACCTGGATGAGTGAGCTCAGGTGGGCTTTATGGTGCCGGGACTCATCAGTCTAGCAGGGCATCTTCAGTGTTGCAAAGAACTTCTGGAAAAAAGCTCCTTAGGGCCGGGGATTTATTTAGCTCAGTGGTTCCGGCGCTTGCCTTGTAAGCACTAGGTCCAGAGTTGAATCTCCAGTACCAAAACAAAACAAAACAAAAAAAGCTCCTTAAGTCAGGTGGTCTATGTTTATGGGATTCTTCTGAGACCATCAGTGAAAACAGACCTGATCTGGTCTATAATCTGAGTGGTCTGGGAGGCTGAGGCAGGAGAATGACAAGTTCAAGCCCAGCCTGAGCAATTTAGGGTCTTACCTCAAAATAAAAAATGAAAAAGGGTTTGAGGCTGGGGCTCAGTGCAAAGACCCTGGGTTCAACCAGCAAAAGAAAAAGAACTGTAAGGGGTCAGATGGGTCCCCTCACACTTGGGGTTGGGGGCCTCCCTGCCCCTGGGCCCTCGCAGTGTCCCCCTCTGTGACACTCAGCTCCCCTCCCACAGAAAAAGTGGGAGCCACGGAAGGGCCGGCTCATCGTGTGTGGCCACGGGACGCTGGAGCGGGATGGTGTCTTCTGTCTCCTCAGTGACGACCACGGTGAAACCTGGCGCTATGGGAGGGGCATCAGCGGCATCCCCTACGGCCAGCCCAAGCTGGAAAATGACTTCAACCCTGACGAGTGCCAGGTCAGGAGCCCCTGGCGTGTTCCCCACCCCTTCCACCTGCCCTGTCCCCCAGAGCCTACCCACCCGGCTCTGACTGCCAGCTCTGCCCCCTGCCTTGCTCCCTTCAGCCACCAGGCATTTACCCTGCACCCTCCTTGATCCCCCTGAGCCCCTGTTCTCTCCCCTCAGCCCTACGAGCTTCCCGATGGCTCGGTCATTATCAATGCCCGGAACCAAAACAACTACCACTGCCACTGCCGGATCATCATCCGAAGCTATGACGCCTGCGACACCCTGAGGCCCCGGGACGTGACCTTTGACCATGAGCTCGTGGACCCTGTGGTGGCCGCGGGAGCCATAGCCACCAGCTCTGGAATTATCTTCTTCTCCAATCCAGCCCACCCCGAGTTCCGTGAGTGCCTAGGGTCTCGTGGGGCAGCCCGTACTCTGGACACGGCCCGCCCTGACCCTGTCCCTCTCTCCAGGAGTGAACCTGACCCTGCGCTGGAGCTTCAGCAATGGGACCTCGTGGCAGAAAGAGAAGGTCCAGCTGTGGCCAGGGCCCAGCGGCTACTCGTCCCTGACCGCCCTGGAGAGCAGCATGGGTGGAGAGAACAAGGACCCCCAGCTCTACGTGCTCTACGAGAAAGGCCTGACCCGCTACACGGAGAGCATCTGCATGGCCAAAATCAGTGTTTATGGGACGCTCTGAGCCAGGGGATGTGTGGATCCTAGCCCTTAGGCCCCAGGCTCTCCAGAGGGTCAGCTGCAGATGCCTAAGGGACAATGCCAACTTCCTTTGGACGCTAGGGTTTTGCAATATCAACTTCTCTTTGCCAGAGAAATTATTCCGTTAGGATGAAAAGGACAGTTTCCTCTCCCAGAGGAAGCGCTGCCCGCAGCTGAGTGCTTCCACTCTGCACCCCTCCCAGGATGGGCCAGCCCTCTCTGGACCCTCTGCGGCAGGGCTGAGTGGAACTGAATAACTGTGAACTCAGGGACTGAGGAACCCCAGGCTCCTCTTAGGTGTAGGGGGAAGACACCAGCTTTGGATCGGGTTGGTGGAAGTCGGTGCAGGGCAAGATTTTTGGTTTCAGGGTGAGGAACTAGGTGCAGTACCCTCAATTATTTATGGATCAAAATGTTTATAACGTGAAAGTTTTTATTGAAGGAGAATGAACGCTTGCAGTCTCTGTGGTTCTGTCCGTGCACATCTTCCTGTCTTTTCATTGTATACGCTCATGAGGCTGGGAATGAGACTTGGGGAGGGAGCAGGCATGCTTACTGCTTGGAAAAGTCTGAGTTCCGCAACTATATGACAAAGTAGCACCTTCTCCCTAAATCAGATGCTTGCAAAAGAATGTGGCAGCCTGCAAATGAGCAGAAGAGCCATGGCTTTTCTCCTTGTGGAACAGAAATGTGACACCTAGATGGGATTTTGTTTTGTCTTTTTGAGACAGGGTCTCACTACACCAGGCTGGCCTCAAACTCAGGATGATCCTCCTGCCTCTCAGCCTTGAGTGCTGGGATACAGGTGTGCACCACCACACCCTGTGGCCTAGATGGGATGTTAAAAATACTAAAAGGAGCTGGAGATTTAGCTCAGTGGTTCTGCAGCCTGCTGCGCAAGCACAAGGACCCAAGTTCGATCCCCAGTACCAAAAAAAAAGTTAAAAGAGCTGGTCATGGTGGCCCACACCTGTAATACAGAATTTAGGAGGCTGAGGCAGAAGAATCACTGCAAGTTTGAGGCCAGCCTGGGCTACACGGTCAGTTCAAGGCCACCCTGAACTACATATGAGACCCTGTCTCACAAACAACCAAAAAACAGTGTGGTCTGCCTCAGCCTCCTGGAGTGCTCTCCTCTTTATTGTTTTAGCACCACGCTCTAACCAACTGAGCTAACTGGCCAGCTTCTCCTCTCTATTTTTAATGCCACCAGACAGAAACAGTCATTTATCCTGTGGAAAATTCGGCTGTCTGAATTTGTCAGTTTCCCTGTGTTACCTGACTTCCTCCTCCTCCTCTTCTATTTCCAGTTATTAAATCTGAAAGTTTGGCTGGATTAGATCCCATTTTGGAGGAGCAAGATTGTATTTGTGTGTGTCTGTGTGTGTGAACATACTTCTTTTTATTGTAACTTAGGAACTCTTGCCCATGTCAACAGATTGTCTGGCATCAGCCTCTGCCTCGGGTACTGGAACAGTCATATTGTCCATCGATTTGGTCAAATAGATTTGGCAGCCCAACCGAGACCTGCCTGTTAATCCATAAGCCAGATCAAGCATGTCGTTCTCCTCATCCGTGATTGCATCTAACTTCTCATATATGTGATCTTTAAAGATGAGGTGGCAGGTAGAGCAAGCCAAAGTTCCCTCACAGGCACCAAAACCATCAATATCTAGATTATTTGCAACCACAACATCTAGCAGAGTCACCAATTTTTCCTTTGGTAATTTACACCATCTCAGTTTATAAAGTGGATTGTTATCTTCTGAGCTGTTCCCCGCTGACAAGCTCAGAGGCAGGCTGGGGCCCGCCCCGTTGCCTAGGTCCAGTGCTCAGCTGCCCAGTAGGCCAGGAGCAGCCACCAGCAGCCATGGCTGAGGTCGTGGAACTGCTGCGTACGACACAGGTACAGCCAAGGGGCTGAGCGAGGGCCCGGTCCATGGAGTCTCCATGAAGCCTGGCTCCCAGCGGTGCGCCAAGAAGATTGTATTTTTTCTTACTGTTTTTTTATTTTGGGGGGGGTACCAGGGATGGAACTTGGGTCCTCGTGCTTGCGCAGCAGGAGGCGAAACCACTGAGCTAAATCCCTGGCCCAGAAGATTGTATTTTTGAGACAGGGTGTCACTCTGGTTTGCGACAGGGTCTCAGCACCATGCTGGCTGGAGGAACCCGAGCAGCGGGTTCTGAGGGCCAGCCCAACCTGGAAGTTTCTGCATCAGCCTCCAACTGACACTTCACCCGCCTGAGCCTTGCCTGATTCAGTTACTTCATGCAGAATTGCAAAATGCGATTTTTGTAAAAACTTCCATCCTTTCTTCCTCATTTACTAGCTGGAATTCTGCAACAAAAAGCTTCATCACCCCTCATCGAGGCAGTTTGGTAAACCTGAAGCACGATTTGTAAGGCAAGACCCAAAACAGGCTTTATTGCCCCCATAGATCACCAGCTCTCAGGGTGCAGCAATGTAACACTTGGCCTTGTTCAGTGAACCACATTACCCAGGGTGACAGAGGCCCATCTGCAGGTCCACAAGCAGCAGTGGGATAGGCTGGTGTGGTGGAGCACGGCTATAATCCCAGCACTCAAGAAGCTGAGGCAGGAAGATTGCTGCAAGTTTGAGGCCAGCCTGGGCTATATAGCGAGACAGTGAGTTCAAAGCCTGAATGAATAACAAGACCCTGTTTCACACATTCTCAGGGCCCCACTGCATTCCTACAGGTTTACAGTGGATAATCAGGGCTGATTGATTGGCTTTGCTTCTGTTTTTTTGGCTGTGCTGAAGATTGACCTGGGGCCTCATGAGTGCTCTGCTATTGCTCCACCATGGAGCTACACCCCACACCCTCTGGGTAATGTTTTTAAGGACATACATATATTTTTAAATTTTTCTTAAAACCACATTTTTACTTTTTTTTTTTTTTGGTACCAGGGATCAAACTTGGATCCTTGTGCTTGTGCAGCAGGCGGCAAAACCACTGAGCTAAAAATCCTCAGCCCCAAAACCACATTTTTAAACGAAGTATAGAGACATTCCTGTACTCCCAGCTACTCAGGATCCTGAGGCAGGAGGATCTCGGTCCCAAGCCAATCAGGGCAATTTAGTGAAACACTCTCTCAAAATAAAAGGGGGTGGGCATGTAACTCAGCACTCCCTGGGTTCAATCCCCAGTACTGGAAAAAGAAAAGGAAAAAAATAAAAGCCAATCCTCAGGGTCTGGGGTTTAGCTCAGTGACACTGCACCTACCTTGCAAGTGCAAGGCCCTGAGTTTGATCCCTGATACCAAAAAAAAAGCATTTAGTCATACTAATTTTTTTTTTTGTGGTACTGAGGATTGAACTCAGGACCTTGAGCTTGCAAGGCAGGCACAGTGCCACTGAGCTAAATCCCTGGCCCAGTCAACTGAACACTATTATATATATATATATATATATATATATATATATATATATATATATAAATTTGGGGGGGAGTTTGAGACAGGGTCTTACTAGGTAGATCAAGATGAACTTGAACTCACTATGTAGCCCCAGGGGGCCTCGAACTCAGGGTGATCCTCCTGCCTCAGCCTTCAGAGTGCTGGGATCACAGGCATGCACCACCACACCCAGCTTTATTTACTGTACTTAGGCAACACTGAGTGTTCTGATGACCTTAGCAGAAAAGTTCATGTTACAGACAGAAAATGGCTGAAGAAAGCAGAAATAGAACAGAATGTGAATCAGCGATCCTAAGCCCCTTTCCTTGTGAGGATTAAGGCGAGGGACTTCCAGATGCCCTGCTGAAACTGGGCTGTTTCAATTGGCTGTTACTTCTTTCTACTGACTTCTTGGAAATTGGAAGAACTCAGTGACTTAGTGACTTGGAGCTTGAGCTTGACTATTTTGGTTGGGTTATTGGTCCCAGTGCAGGAGCTTGGTCCAAACCAATGGCCTTCTACAAGTTTTATTTAGGCATAGTTTGACTTCTGAGGTAGGTGGATCATGGAGTGCTTGATTCTGACTTTGGAATTCTTAGAATTGGAGGTGAGTATGGAAAGCTCCCAGTGGAACCTGGTACAGAGAACTGCCCAGGAAGCCAGGCGTGGCGGCACACATCTGCAATCCCAGCACCCAGGAGGCTGAGGCAGGAGGATCCCCATGAGTTCGAGGCCAGCCTGGGCCACATAGTGAGTTCAGGGCCAGCCTGAACTACACAGTGAGACCCTGTCTTAAAAGAAAAAAAAAATCAGACCCAGACTGAATTCCAAATTTACACTAGTTTGTTACACAAAAAGAATTTTGAACCTTCTGTTCTTCTAAGAGGCAGAGAATAGAAGAGGTTCAGATAATCAGGGGTGAATTTGCCTGCAAGTAAAGAATTGAGAGTGTGTGCAAAAAAAAAAAATATATATATATATATATATAATATATATTATATATATATTAAAACACATCCCTTAGAAGAGATGTCACCGCCTGTTCTGTGAAGAAACTTCTTTTTGAGGGCTGTGGTGAATGGATGAATGTATACAATAAAACTGACAAAATGGTTCAAAAATATGTAAAACAGGGCCGGGGATTTAGCTCAGTGGTTTCACCGCCTGCTGCACAAGCACAAGGACCCGAGTTCTATCCCTGGTACCAAAAATTTTAAAAATGAAAATAAAAATATGTAAAACAAAGTAAAGTTGCTGGTCAGTCAGCATTTTACAGTATTTGGGAAAACAACCGTTCCAGTTTTCTGGCTGTGTAACTGTCAGGAAAGGAAGGCTCTGTCTCTGTGGTGAAGGCCGCGGCAAAAGTGGGCTCCTGAAACTCAGAGGCCCCTTCTCCCAGAGCCAGGACCCACGTGAACCTCGAAAGTGGTTTCACACTGTGGCCTAGGCAGTCTGTTTATTTTTTTGTCTGTTTTATTTACAGTCTGATTTAAAACAATCAGATTCACATTGGTTCATTTTAGCTATGTCACAACCTGACAGGATGGAGGAAAACAACCTTTAAAGAGATTATGTGTATGGTTTGATTCACTTAGAAATTTTATTTTCTTATAATTTAAGAGCAGTAAAATGTGTTTTTTCGTGTTAAAAAATATCAGAGAGAGGACCAGGGGTTTAGCTCAGTGGTTCCACTGCCGCCTGGCTCAAAAGCGCAAGGTCCTGAGTTTGATCCCCGGTACCAAAAAATATATATATATATCTATCAGAGAGAGGAACTCCCCAGGAGCGGTGTCTTTCCTGAGGCTATCACAGATGCCATGCCAGCCCCAGCCCCAGCTCCTCCATCATTTCTAAAGAAGACCACAAGCCCAGGTCTCCTCCGGTGGGGAGGCCATCTGACAAGGTCAAAGGGCCCACAGGAAAATTCCTTGATGCATGAATATAAAAAGGGGAACAATTCACTTCCCGTCATTACAGGAGATTTTTTTTTCTTTTAAAAGGAGATTTCTATACCAACTCATTATACACAATATTCTAAATAAAAGAATGAATTGTTTATCCTGCCTTCTCGGTATGAACAAGCAGGTTTATTTTTTTGATTGTTTGGTTTTTTGGTGCTGGGGATCACTGAGCTAAATCCCTGGCCCACAAGCAGTTTTAATTTTTTGTTTTGTTTTTTTGAGACAGGGTCACACTCTGCAGTTCAGGCTGGCCATGAACTCCTGAGCGCAAGCCCAGCTGGGGCTACCTGGTTACAAGGACACTTGGAGACAGTGCCCTGGCCCCAGGTTGTCACCTGATGCCAGCATGTGCCTGGGGCTCGGTGACCCATGCCTCTGCACTGCCTTTTGCACTGAATGGTTTATGGCCGTCCCAGGCTGACCGTTGTTCCCACCTGAGGCTCACCTGCTAGGTACAATAAACTTCAAGACTCAGCAGGAACTTGGGACTTGGGATTATTCGTTTCCTTATTCTTTGGGAAACAGTCAGAAGGCAGGCTGAGGGTGCTCTGAGTAGAGAGCTTTCCTGGCATGCTCAAGGGCCCAGCTTCCATGCCCAGCACTGGGGAAGAGGGTGAATCGGGAGGACGCCATTACAGAGAAGAAAGTTCTAGGCCAGGCTGCTGAAGGCCAGACAGCTCCACGCTGTGCCAAGGGGTGTCTCAGGCCGCCTTTCCTACTTCAAACTTCCTCCTTGTCTAGCTCTGGTCTCTCTGTTCAAGGTCACGGATGATTTCTTCTTCGTTCACTAGTCCTCCATTCAGCTGGTCTGTGATTTAACTGTTGTGCATTTTGTGTTTGCTTGTTTTTGAGACAGGGTCTCACTATGTGGTTCAGACTGGTCTTGAACTTTCAGCGATCCCCGTTTCGGCCTCCCTGGTGCTGGGATTACCAATGTGCACCACCACACCTGGCTTGTTTTTTGCTGCTGGGGTAGAACCTAGGCCTCCGGCATGGGGACCATGCACCCTGCCCCTGAGCTACACCCCAGCCTCTTGTTTTTACTTCCTTTCAAATCCACTGGCTCTTTCTTCAGTTTCCTTTCTCTCAGAACATCTTCTGCTTCTAGCCAGGGCCTTGGTTCCTTGAGTTTCTCAGCCTCGAAGCCACCGTTACTGCATGGGCTGGCTCCTTCCCAAGGGACTGGCTTCCCCATGGTGACCCTGACTTGTCTGCAGAATCAGTCCTCGAGGGAGCCAGCACCTCCTGAGAGGAGTCCCATGGGGTGCTGCAGCTTTTGCACTTGCCCAGAACTTTGGAGATCACAGGTCCCAAAGAGTGTTGTCTGCTTGTTTTGCTACTGGCTATGGAACCCAGGGGGTTTGCGCTGAGCTACGTCCCCAGCTTTTTTTGGTACTGGGGATCGAACTCGGGTCCTTGTGCTTTCAAAGCAGGCGGCGAAATCACTGAGCTAAATCCCCGGCCCATTTATTTATTTTTTGAGACAGGGTCTCACTACATAATTCAAGTTGGCCTTCAACTCACTATGTAGCCCAGGGTGGCCTTGAACTTGCAGCAATCCTCCTGCCTCAGCCTCCCCTGTGCTGGGATTATAGATGTGCACACCACACCTGGCTAAAAATGTCTATTTCAAATCACCATGTTTTAGAGATCAAGTTCCTATAAAGCAGGACTAATCCTAAAGTTCTGGGACACAAGGATTGAAGTTCAGGAACTTCGACAAAAGCAAGTGACCTCAGCCTCTAGATTACAAAACAGGGCAATTTCAAAGGAAAAAAACAAGCAGAACCAGGGACTGATGGCAAAAGCCTGTAATCTCAGCACACGAGGTGGCTGAGGCGGGGGCACTGGAAGTTTGAGCCCAGCCAGAGCAATAGAAAGGAAAAAGAAAAGCTGTAACACGCCATGGTACACACTTGTCTTCCATCCACTGGGTAGTTTGTACCCGCAACAGGACTGTCCCATGCCACCCAGTGGCTCAGAGCTTCGTCGAAGTAAGACATCTGTTAAAGTTATGGTTGCCCGGTGTGGTGCTGCCTGTGATCCCAGCACTCAGGCGCCTGAGGCAGGATTGCCTCAAGGCCAGCATGACTACTGAGAATTCAAGGCCAGCCTGAACTACATAGCAAGGCCGTCTCAAAGAAAAGGGATGAAATTTTTTTTGCCAAAGAGGGTGGGAACCATACTGGAAATGTTCAGTAGAAACACATACAGTAGTTCCTTTTCCTTAGTTTGTTACCTATGGCCAATGTTGGTCCCCAAATCACTAAATATTGAAATATTGAAACAGAAAACTCGAGAAATGATCACACTTTAAGCTTTGTTTTGGGCAACACAGTAATATCTCTAGGTCTTTCGCAACCCTTTGCTCTGAGTACTCAGATCCCTGGCTGCCGCCACCTGGCTCCCTCGAAGCCATCTGTTCAGCAAACGTTGTGTGGTAGCACCTCACTCTGTCCGGGGGAAGGCTCAGTACAGTGCACACAGTCTGAGACCAGTGTATTATAGCATAATGACTCATCAATCTCACCGTGTCTAACTTGTAAACTGAACTGCACCATAGACCTACAGGAAAGAAAACATACTCCATACATAGGGTTTGTTACTATTCTTGACTTCGGGCATCCACCAGGGCTCTTGGAGCATATTCCCCTGGTGTAAAAGGGTCCCACTGTCTATCAAAAAGACTGAGTGTTCAACATGGTAGCACATGCATGTGATCCCAGCACTCTGGGAAGCTGAGGCAGGAGGATCTTAAGTTCCAGGCCACTCTGGGCAACAGGGCTAGGGTCTGGAGTTCAGTGTCAAGGCTCTGGGTTTGATCCCCAGTACTGGGGGTATTAAAAAATCAGAGCTTTCATGCCATTGTTCTTTAGCTAAGAAAGGATCACTTGTCAACTTTTTCTGGCACTGGGGATTGATTTCAAGGCCTTTGCATTGATCTGTCTCGTTTTGTTTTTGAGACAGGGTCCAAATGGGTATGTCCGTCCCACCAAGCCCAGATGAAATCTTAAAATTTCTTTGGTGCTGGGTATTGAATCCAGGTCAAGTCCTTGCCTGGCATGCATGAGATGCTATGTTTGATGCCCCAGAAATACAGCAGAACTATGATGACAAATACCACCCTCAATAGTAACAGTGGGCACAGGAAGAACCAATGTCAGCTGGGTAAGCCAATCTTCACAAAACTGCTTCAAAAAACTTCAAACTCTAGAATTCTAGGTCTGAAAACTTGTAACAACTTCCAAGTGGGAGCAAAGAACAGGGATCAATGTGCAGGTGACATGATGAAACCTAAATGCCCCCCTAAGAACACACATCCGTGCACACCAGCAGCTACGTTTTAGACAGTGATGGAAACACAGAATGCTTCCACTCCCAAGGCAAGTTAGGTGCCAGTTAATATTGCTCCACCACAACTGAAAGCTTCAAATACTTTGTTAATAACCTGCAGTACAGTGTAACGCTACAGCAGTAGACGAGATCTAGAAATCTTGAACGTTAGCATTAAGTATGTAGCTCAATCTGATTTTAGTGTTTTGTGCATAGCTGTAAAGTACACCTAGAGTTCAAGTGTAACAGTTGAACCTTTCACTTTCCTAATTCTGTATCTTTTTTCCTGGAGATCAGATAATCCACTAATTATTTGTTTTAAAATACTTTATTGGAATTCTTTTGATTAAACCAGGAACTTGCAGAAAACAAAATAAACATATGTGAACTCTACCTAATACAAAGTGTTTGGAAACTTAAAACCAACTTTCTGCCCAGAAAATTGACAGCAGTTCATGTAGGTTAATACAGGAATGATGTAAGCTCCTAGGATCTGCCCAACATCAGATAGGAGACATCTTGTCAGCAAAACCCTGAAATTTCACAAAATGAACACATTAGAACTACACAGGCAGTAGTAAAACATGAAGCTGGGTGGGCGGGGAGATTTGCACAGGGCAGAGGGGAAGGCTAAGAGTGGATCAGGTGGTTTCAAAGATCCTCAGAGACACTCAGAGCCTCTAGTCCAACCAGGTCATCATTCCCACTCTTGGGCCTGGGAACCAAAGCGGCACTCACCGTGTTCAGAGAAAAAGGGCTTGCTCTGCTCGTGTCCAGGGCACCCCAACAGTCACTCGAGGAGGGGTGGATTCCAAGCCTTAGGGTTTCAGCCTAGGTTAATGCAGAATTTCTGGTAAGGGCTCTGCCCCTGGCTGGCTTTCCAGAGCTCTCATGCTAGAAAGACGAAATAGGAGAATAAGCACTGTGAAGGCTACCCAGAGAGCCAAGCATCCAGTTCCCTAAATGAGTCAGAACTTATTTTTGACATCAGGACTAGCGTCAGAGACTCTAGTCTGTGAAATCATCATTCCCAACTTAGGGAGTTCTGGATCGAGGGAACACATTCTGGGAAGAGATTCAGCACATTCAAAGATGACCACCCCAGCCCATGAAGATCTTCAAATTAAAGTCCACAGATGTTAAGTTTGTGAGCGAAAGAGCAGAAAAGTAAACTCAGACTAGCCCTACTCAGAACTCATTTTACAATGGTGGACAAGGTGGGATAACCAGGCTTCAATAAAAATATGCAGGATCAAGAAGGTGTGGTGCTCCTCCCCTGTAATCCCACCATTTGGGAGGCTGAGGCAGGAGAATCACCTTGATTCCAAGGCTGGCCTGGGCTACACAGTGAGTTCAAGGATAGCCTGAAGGACAGACCACGTCTCAACCGCCCCCCCAAAATTAGGATGTACAAAAGTGGGAAGTCATCAAGTGTACGTGTTTCTCAAAACACACATACAGTTCCCTGTGAAAGACAACTTGGAAACAAAACAGGCGGAGCAGCAGAGGTTCTAAGGTCGGATACTAACCTTTATTTAAGGATAACCCACCGACAGGCGTCTTAAGACTCCAGACTGCGGAACTGAGACACAGAAACGGAAATATTGGTATGTGTTCCAGGCCTCCAACCTCCCCTAGCCCAAGTATTAGGTTTTGTGGCCCGAGGGGCGGTCAGCGCGCTGCGGTGATGGCGTCAGCGAGACACTCAGAGTCACCTGGAATCATCATCACCCCGTGCTCCCCCGCGGCGACCGCGAGCCAGTGCCAACTACGTCGCAAACACTGCCACAGCCCACTTACCATCTCGCGCTACGAGCCCGCCTTCAAGGACCAGGAACCTAGAAAAACAACCTGTGCGTTGGCAGAGGCCAGAGAGACTCCAGCCGACCTCCCCCCGCCTGAGCTGGGTCAGTTCCAAGCAGTAGCGTCACGGAGACATCAGAAACTCTAGTCTGTAATGGTGGTTCATCCTGCTCAGCCCCGGACTACAACCTCCCTCCCAGCAGGGGCACCAGGTACCTGCAAGAGGGCTGATGCACAAGAGCGGACTCGGTGTCTTCCCCCGGCTCCGCAGCGCGTTCTGCTGTAAGGCCCAGGAGGCCGGGAAGGTAAGCACAGGGGCCACATGAAACCCTCTGCACAGAAGAAAGGGAGTGGCAGAGGCCCGCCAGAGCTATTTATGGAGGCCCCGGGTTGGGGGCCTGACGGGCGTGGTTGTCTTCTCATATGCCTGATTCTACGCCCTACATTTTCTCCATCGTTCAACCAAAGAGGAATAAAACGAAGTAAAAGAGAGGTATTGAAAATATGTTCTTCCGTCAAATAGTCAGAGATGTTTTGTGATTTTTGATAAACCAACAGCAATAACAATTACAGGCGACCCGGGTGGCCAGGCGCAAGAAAGTCCCCGGCTGGCTGGACCCGCGCCAACTAGGCGCCGTGTCTTGTGTTGTGGGGTGTGTGTGTGTGTGTGTGTGTGTGTGTGTGTGTGTGTGTGTGTGTGTCGTGTGTTAAATTGGGGCGGGTGTGCGTGTCTGTGTGCGCGCTCCCATGCTCAGCTAATTTGCTATGTAATTTTTAAGCCTTCTGTGCAGTTCAATATTAAGTATATTTCCGTTATTGCGCAATGGCTCTCCAGAACTTTTCCATCTTCCAAAACTGAAACACTATACCATTAAATTACTTCCCATTCTCCATTCTGTTTGGTCTTGGTTTTATTGTTATCCTCCTGCCCTCCCACACTGGGGATGGAGTCCAGGAAGCGCTGAGGTACCTCCCCAGCCCTGTTTTTGTTTTTGTTTGGTTTTTTGCCAAGGTCACAGGTCTTTCTAAATTGCCCAGGCTGAACTAGAACCTGTCACCCTCCTGCCTTAGTCACCCAAGTAGCTGGGACTATAGGTGTGCACCACCATGCCAACTTCATAGTCTTTTTTCCCCCTTTTTTCGTACTGGGGATTGAACCCAGGGCCTTTGTACTGAGTTACCTCCCCACCCCTCCCCCCCACTTAAAAAAAAGTTTTATTTATTTTTTGGTACTGGGGATTGAACTCGGGACCTCGTACTTGTGAGGCAGGCGCCGGAACCACTGTGCTAAGTCCCCAGCCCCCTTTTTAATTGAGGCAGGGTCTTCCTAAATTCCTAAATTGAAACTGGAGGTGGAGGCTTCATGTCCTTCTTATAGCAGTGTGAGTGCTGGGAGTTAGCAAAAGGTGATGGACATGTTGCAGACCCTCTGAATACCACTTTATGTCCCAGGGGGATTGGTATATGTGTTGCCAAAGTGAGCGCTGTCCCAGCGGAATCAGAAGACCTGGAGTCAGTGTGGACAAGCCACAGCTGAGCCGTACTCTCCCTGTCTCCTCTCAGGATCTTTCCTTAGGTGTTTGCTCTGGGTCCTTAATCCACCAACTCTGGTATCATTCCAGACCCCACTCTGCCTAGTCCCTTCTGCAGCCTCTGGCTTCCAGTGGTTTTCTCAGCTTTGCCTGCACATTAGAGACCTTGGGCAGCCCAGGATGTATACACACTGCCCTTGGGCCCTTCTGTTATTCTGAACTGGCCTGAGAAAGGCCTGGTGTCTGTATCTACTTTAGCTTCCTCCAAATCATTGCTATTTTTTTGTTGTGCTGAGGATTGAAACCAGACCTCATGCATTCAAGGCAAGCACTCTACTTATGTATCCAGCTCCCAGGTGATTTTATTATACCACTGTGGTGGAGAACCATGCCACTAATAGCTTTAATTTAAAGGATTTGTTCCTTCTACTTCCTATCAAAGAGAGGAACTCCTAATTGCACTACTGGAGCAGTGAAAATACATTTCCAAAATGCTGTGGTGAGAGGCTAGAAGAGCATTATAGTTCATCTTTTCTTGGGGGGGCGGATACCAGGGATTGAACTCGCATCCTTGTGCTTGCAGGGCAGGCAGTGGAACCACTGAGCTAAATCCCCGGCCCCCTTTTTTTTTTTTTTTTTTTTTTTTTGGTACCATGAATTGAACTCAGTGCCTCTAGCTTGCCAGCCAGGCACTATCATCTCTTAAGTGAAACAGGCCTTTGAGAATCAGCCCAGAAACCACAGAAACTCTTATTTTATGTTCCTTTTCCAGGGCCTGGGATTTAGCTCAGTGGTTTGGCCACCCGCTTCATAAACACAAGGTCCCAAGTTCAATTCCCAGCACAAAAAATATATATATATATATATCCTTTTCCATTACAAGCTTTCTAGGAGGGCATCCTGTATTCCATCCATTCCTAACATTATCTTTTCCCAGAGGGTAAGGATTGAATAAAAGGTATAATTCTGAACTCTGACTGAGGAGTAGGTATTCCCAGGCTGTTTTGGGGAGAAAGGAAGGTGGAAAGCTGTTGAACTAGAGGTGTGAAGGACACTTAACTGCTACAGCAGAAAGAACCCCTAGGACTGGGTGGGAGGGAAGCCCATTGCCTTTATCTTCCCAGCTCTCGTCCTCTGCTGCTTTTCTCAATTAAATTTGCTATTACATCACTATTGTTGAAGGGTGATGGGTAAATCTGAGGTAAAACCATCATTTAGAAACACAAAGGAAACTGGTCCTGGGCAGTAACCCCAGCACTTTGGGAAGCTGAGGCAGGAGGACTGTGAGTTAGAGCCCTGCTTGGGCAACTTGGTGACCCTATATCAAAATAAAAATAAAAAATAGGCCGAACATTATTTTTTTTGTGAGGGCCCCGGGTTCCATCCCCAGTATAAAAACAAGACAAAACAACAAAACACAGGGAGAAGCAAATGCCAGGAAGTCCAGACAGTGGTAAAACATTTTGGCCCCCAGAGTCAGCCTTGCTCTCTGATTTTGACCTGCATTCAACGTAACTGATGAAGCTCCACATGCTAAACTGGGAAAAAAGTTCTACAATGCCTAACATAGAAGGCGGTGATACCCAAACTAGGGGTGGGAAAAAGAACCTGGGGCCCATCCCTTCTTTCCTGCCACACCGAACTTTCTTAATTTCTCCAGACTTGCTTTTAAATAACTACGGAGACACGAATAAAAAAAGAATTTTTGGGGCCTGGGATTTAGCTCAGTGGTTTCGCCGCTTGCTGCACAAGTGCAAGGACCTGAGTTCAATCCCCGGTACCAAAAAAA